ATACACCCATCCCCAGGGCAATATTAATCTCCCTCCAAAATTATCCCCCCAATTATTCCCACTCCCCCAGGGCAATATTAACCCCTCCTCAAAATTCTCCCCTCCCAAATTATTCCCACCCCTCCAGGGCAATGTTAACCCCTCCCAAAATTCCCCCCAAATTATACCCATCCCCAGGGCAATGTTAACCCCCAAAAAATCCCCCAAATTATACCCATCCCCCAGGGCAATGTTAACCCCCAAAATTGTCCCCCTCAAAATTATTCCCACCCCCTAGGGATATATTAACCCCCCAAAATTCTCCCCCCAAATTATACCCATCCCCCCAGGGCAATATTAACCCCCAAAATTCTTCCCACCCTCGCCAGGGCAAAATCCACTCCCCCAAGCTGTTCCTGCCCCCTCAAAAAATATTAACACCCCCAAAAATTATCCCCTCCCTCAAATTATTCCCATGTTTCCCAGGGTAAAAATTCCCCGGCTGTTTATTGCCCCTCCCCAGGTTTAATAACCCTCCCAACTGTTATTGCCCCCCAAGCTAATATTGACCTCCCATGTGCTAAAAACCTCCCCAAATGCCCCCAAAGAAGTTATTGGTCTCCCATGTGTTAATACCCCTCTATCCGTTATTGCCCTCCCAAAATTTAATACTCCTCAACTGTTATTGCCCCCCAACTGATATTGCCCCCAGGGCTTATTACCCACCCCCAACTGTTATTGCCCCCAGGGCATTGCTGCCCCCCCATGTGCTAAAACTTCCCCTAAACTGCCCCCAAGGTGTTATTACCCCCATGTGTTAATACCCCATTATTACCCCCGGTTTAATCTCCTGAACTGTTATTGCCTCCCAGCTGATATTGCCCCCGGGGCTTATTACCCCCAAAACCCACTCGGGGCGTTATTGCTCCCCATGTGCTAAAAACCTCCCTAAACTGCCCCCATGTGTTAATACTCTCTATCCATTATTGCCCCCTCCCAAAGTTTAATACCCTCAACTGTTATTGCCCCCTCAAGCTGATATTGCTCCCCCAGGGCTTATTACCCCCAATGCCCCCAAACTCTTATTACCCCCCCATGTGTTAATGACCCTCTATCCCTTAATGCCTCCCGGTCCAGGTTTAATAACCCCCCAGCTGTTATTGCCCCCAAGCTAATATTGACCCCCATGTGCTAAAAACCTCCCAAACTGCCCCCCCATGTGTTAATACCCTCTCTATCCGTTATTGCCCCCTCCCAAAGTTTAATATCCCCCCAACTGTTATTGCCCCCAAGCTGATATTACCCCCTAGAGCTTATTACCCCCAATGCCCCCAAACTCTTCTTACCCCCCCATGTGTTAATGACCCTCTATCCCTTAATGACCCCCTCCCAAAGTTTAATACCCCCTCAACTGTTATTGCCTCCCAAGCTGATATTGCCCCCTAGAGCTTATTACCCCCAATGCCCCCAAACTCTAATTACCCCCTCATATGTTAATGACCCTCTATCCCTTAATGCCCTCTAGCCCAGGTTTAATAACCCTCCCGCTGTTATTGCCCCCTAGGCTAATATTGCCCTCCCAGGGCTTATTACCCTCCCAAAACCCACCCAGGGCGTATATGTCCCCCCACGTGTTAATACCCCTCCATCCGTTATTGCCCCTCCAGCCAAGGTTTAATAACCCCCAAACTGTTATTACTCCCAAGTTAATATTACCCCCAAGTTAATATTACCCTCCCCAAACTCTTATTAACCCCTCCATGTGTCAATACCCCTCCATCCATTATTGCCCCTCTGGCCCAGGTTTAATAACCCCCAAGCTGATATTGCCCCCTGCTGATATTGCCCCCCAGCTAATATTGGCCCCCCCAACTCTTATTACCCCCTCCACGTGTAAATACCCTCCATCCGTTATTGCCCCCTGGCCCAGGTTTAATAACCCCTCAAGCTGATATTGCCCCCCGGGTTTATTACCCCCAAATTCTTATTACTCCCTCCATGTGTTAATAACTCCTCCATCCGTTATTGCCCCCGGCCCAGGTTTAATACTCCCCAACTCTTATTACCTCCCCCAATCTAATATTGCCCCCAAACTCTTATTACCTCCCTCCATGTCTTAATGCCCTCCATCCGTTATTGCCTCCCACGCGATACCTCCCCAAACCGTTACTCCCCCAGTTTAACACCCCCACAACCGTTATTGCCCCCACGTATTAATTCCCGCCCCCAACCCGTTACTGCCCCCAACTCATCCCCTACCCCCTCCCTCCCCCAACTCCCTCCCTCCCCCCACTCCCCTTCACTCCTCAGCCCCTGCCCAGCCAGCAGCGCCTCCCAACTCTCTACCAACCACCTGGGACCCTCTGAGGCCCCCCCAGAACCCCCTGAGCCCCCCTGGGACCCCCCATACCCCCTCCCCGGTCCCCTCACCCTCGGCCGGTCTCGCCCTGCTCTGGCCCTGGCGGCGCCTGCGGCCCCTGCGTGGTCATTGCCCTTTAAGAACCCGCCCTGCCCCGTCGTGACGTTCATCGTACGGCGCCCATCCCCACCATTTTGAGAAGGTCAACTCTCATTCAGATTCGACGGGGAGGGCGCCATCTTAGGGTGGCTTTGAGTGACGTCATCGCCGGGCGACGGCTCGTGGGTGGGAGCGCCCCGGCGCCATCTTGGGGGTGGGGAGGGACCCCAAATTTCGAGGGGGGCAATCCTGGGTTTGTCCTCGTGGGCGCCCCCGGGTGGGGTGGGACACGCAGGGACAGCGGTGTAACCCCGCCCCCCCACCATGGCACTCCCGGGTGGCACCTGCTTTGTCACCTTGTCCCCATGGGTGGGGGGTGACACCCAGTGCCACCATTGGGACCCCCAGGGTGTCCCCCATTGTCACCCCTGTGCCCCATGGTGGCACCTGCTGTGTCACCTTGTCCCTATGGGTGGGATGTGACACCCAGTGCCACCATTGGGACCCCCGGGGTGGCACCTGCTGTGTCACCTTGTCCCCATGGGTGGGATGTGACACCCAGTGCCACCATTGGGACCCCCAGGGCCACCCTTCTGTCCCCTCAGGGTGTCACCCCCACCCCTCTGACCCCCCCCCAAGAACAGCACAGACCCCCTGTTCTCCTAGGGCACTTTATTGTCTCCCTGTGGGGACCCCCAGGGCACGACCCCCACCCTCCCCCCAGTGCCAGGTGCCAACCCCACCTCCCCCCCCAAGACCCCCCAGAATGGCCAGGCCCTGTTTTGGGGTGAAAAGGGGCAGTTTTGGGTGCTGGGGGAACCCAAGGCCAGGTGCCAACCCCTCATGTGGCCACGCCCCAGTTTGGGGTGAAAAAGGGCAGTTTTGGGTGCAGGAAGGGCCCAATGCCAGGTTCCAACCCCCCCTAATTGGCCAGGCCCTGTTTTGGGGTGAAAAGGGGCAGTTTTGGGTGCTGGGGGTGAACCCAGTGCTGGGTGCCAAGCCCCCAAATTGGCCAAGCCCTGTTTTGGGGTAAAAAGGGGCATTTTTGGGTGCAGGAAGGTGCCCAGTGCCAGGTGCCAACCCTTTGGCACAGCCCCCAAAATCCCCAAAACGCATCCAAGGAGTTCCAGGGCTCTGGAACTGCCCCCCAAAAACAGACCTGGGGGGGTCTGAGGGTCCCAAAGTGCCCCCCAAAATTCATCTGGGGGGTCCCAGAGTTCCAAACTGTCCCCCCCCCCAACATATTTGGGGGTCCCAGGGCTCCAAGTGCCCCCTCAAAATCCATCCAAGGGGTCCCAGGGCTCCAAGTGCCCCCCAAAATCCATCCAAGGGGTCCAAGGATGCCCCCAAAATCCATCCAAGGGGTTCCCAGGGCTCCAAAATTACCCTGCAAACATATTTGGGGGTCCCAGGGCTCCAAGTGCCCCCCAAAATCCATCCAAGGGGTCCAAGGATGCCCCCAAAACTCCTCTAGGGGGGTCCCAGGGCTTCAAGTGTCCCCCAAAATCCATCCAAGGGGTCCCAGGGCTCCAAGGGCCCCCAAAATCCATCCAAGGGGTCCAAGGATGCCCCCAAAACACATCTAGGGGGGTGCCAAGTGCCAAGTCTCTGAGTGCCCCCCCAAAATCCATCCAAGGGGTCCAAGGATGCCCCCCAAACACATCTGGGGGGTCCCAGGGCTCCAAGTGCCCCCCAAAATCCATCCAAGGGGTCCCAGGGCTCCAAGTGCCCCCCAAAATCCATCCAAGGGGTCCAAGGATGCCCCCAAAACTCCTCTGGGGGGTCCCAGGGCTCCAAATGCCCCCCAAAATCCATCCAAGGGGTTCCCAGGGCTCCAAACTTACCCTGCAAACATATTTGGGGGTCCCAAGTCTCTGAGTGCCCCCCAAAATCCATCCAAGGGGTCCCAGGACTCCAAGTGCCCCCCAAAATCCATCCAAGGGGTCCCAGGGCTCCAAGGGCTCCCCAAAATCCATCCAAGGGGTCCAAGGATGCCCCCAAAACTCCTCTGGGGGGGTCCCAAGTGTCTGAGTGCCCCCCAAAATCCATCCAAGGGGTCCAAGGATGCCCCCAAAACACGTCTGGGGGGGTCCCAAGTGTCTGAGTGCCCCCCAAAATCCATCCAAGGGGTCCAAGGATGCCCCCAAAACACGTCTGGGGGGGTCCCAAGTGTCCGAGTGCCCCCCAAAATCCATCCAAGGGGTTCCCAGGGCTCCAAACTTATCCTGCAAACATATTTGGGGGCCCCAAGTCTCTGAGTGCCCCCCAAAATCCATCCAAGGGGTCCCAGGGCTCCAAGTGCCCCCCAAAATCCATCCAAGGGGTCCAAGGATGCCCCCAAAACTCCTCTGGGGGGGTCCCAGGGCTCCAAGTGCCCCCCAAAATCCGTCCAAGGATGCCCCCCAAACACATCTGGGGGGGTCCCAGGGCTCCAAGTGCCCCCCAAAATCCATCCAAGGGCTCCAAGTGCCCCCCAAAATCCATCCAAGGGGTCCCAGGGCCCCCATTGAGCCCCGGGGGGGGGTGTCGAGGTCCATCAGTTTTTGGGGTCACATTTGAGTCCGAGCCCCCCCCCAAATTTGGGACCCCCGAGTGGGTAAAAGCAGGTGACAAAATAAGTTAAAAGCTGAGGGGTTGGGGGGGATTCCTGGGGGTCCCCCCCCTCGTCCTGGGGGTCCTTCCCCCCACATCCTGGGGGTCCCTCAGTTGACCAGCAGAGCGTTGTCCTGCAGGGGAGCCCTGGGGGGAGATGGCACCGGTTATGGGGTGTAAATTTGGGGTGCAGGGACTCAAGGTGGGGGGGTGAGACCCCCCCACACCCCAAAAATACAGGAGGGGGGGAGGGGGGAGTCACAGAGGATGGTTGGACCCATTTTGGGTGGGGGGCCCACGGGGCATTTTGGGGGGGCTGGAAGAGAGGGCACAGGGTGGTTTTGGGGGGGGTGGCAAGAGGCTCAAGGGTTTTGGGGTCGTTTTTGGGGTACTGGGCTTTTTGGGGTGGGGGGTGGGAAGAGATTGATAATGCTGGGGTCGTTTTGGGGTTGCAGGAAGAGACTGACTTGGATTTTGGGGGCTGGATTTTGGGGTCATGTTGAGGGGCTGAATTTTTGGGGTCATTTTGAGGGTGCCAGATTTTGAGGTCATTTGGGGTGCCAGATTTTGGGGTCATATTGAGGGGCTGAATTTTTGGGGTCATGTTGAGGTGCCAGATTTTGAGGTCATTTGGGGTGCCAGATCTTGGGGTCATTTTGAGGGGTGACAGATTTTGGGATCATTTTGGGGGTCCTGGCAGAGCCTCCCCCCCCACACGTGGAGAAGGGGCTGGAAATCCCGACCCAGGTGGGATCAGCGGCCAAACCAGCCGGACCCTCCTCCCCCTGGGCCGGCTGATGGGGGGTCCCAGCGCCCCAAAACCCCCAAAACCCCCCCAAAATCCCCCCTGATCCCCTCCCACCTCTCGCAGCAGCAGAACACGGAGCAGGACGAGGAGCTGTCCCGGCGGAACTTCCCGGACTTGGGGCTGTCCTGGCACTGCGCGATGTAGGCGTGGAGCTGGGACACCGGAGTGTCACCCTCACACTGGTGCTGGGGACACACAGGGGACATGGGGACACCCCCAGTGAGGGGATGGAGCTGGGACACCGGAGTGTCACCCTCACACTGGTGCTGGGGACACACAGGGGACATGGGGACAGGTCAGGGGATGGAGCTGGGACACCGGAGTGTCACCCTCACACTGGTGCTGGGGACACACAGGGGACACAGGGGACATGGGGACAGGTCAGGGGACATGGGGACAGCTCAGGGGACACCCCCAGTGAGGGGATGGAGCTGGGACACCGGGGTGTCACCCTCACACTGGTGCTGGGGACACACAGGGGACAGCTCAGGGGACAGCTCAGGGGACATGGGGACAGCTCAGGGGACAGCTCAGGGGACACCCCCAGTGAGGGGATGGAGCTGGGACACCGGAGTGTCACCCTCACACTGGTGCTGGGGACACAGGGGACAGCTCAGGGGACATGGGGACACCCCCAGTGAGGGGATGGAGCTGGGACACCGGAGTGTCACCCTCACACTGGTGCTGGGGACACAGGGGACAGCTCAGGGGACATGGGACAGGTCAGGGGACACAGGGGACATGGGGACACCCCCAGTGAGGGGATGGAGCTGGGACACCGGGGTGTCACCCTCACACTGGTGCTGGGGACACACAGGGGACAGCTCAGGGGACATGGGGCAGCTCAGGGGACAGCTCAGGGGACACCCCCAGTGAGGGGATGGAGCTGGGACACCGGAGTGTCACCTTCACACTGGTGCTGGGGACACAGGGGACATGGGGACATGGAACAGGTCAGGGGACAGGTCAGGGGACATGGGGACAGCTCAGGGGACAGCTCAGGGGACACCCCCAGTGAGGGGATGGAGCTGGGACACCGGAGTGTCACCCTCACACTGGTGCTGGGGACACAGGGGACATGGGGACAGCTCAGGGGACATGGGGACAGGTCAGGGGATGGAGCTGGGACACCGGAGTGTCACCCTCACACTGGTGCTGGGGACACAGGGGACAGCTCAGGGGACAGGTCAGGGGATGGAGCTGGGACACCGGAGTGTCACCCTCACACTGGTGCTGGGGACACAGGGGACACAGGGGACATGGGGACACCCCCAGTGAGGAGATGGAGCTGGGACACCGGAGTGTCACCCTCACACTGGTGCTGGGGACACACAGGGGACATGGGGACACCCCCAGTGAGGAGATGGAGCTGGGACACCGGAGTGTCACCCTCACACTGGTGCTGGGGACACACAGGGGACACAGGGGACAGGACAGGGGACAGCTCAGGGGACACCCCCAGTGAGGGGATGGAGCTGGGACACTGGGGTGTCACCCTCACACTGGTGCTGGGGACACACAGGGGACAGCTCAGGGGACATGGGACAGCTCAGGGGATGGAGCTGGGACACTGGGGTGTCACCCTCACACTGGTGCTGGGGACACAGGGGACAGCTCAGGGGACATGGAACAGCTCAGGGGACACCCCCAGTGAGGGGATGGAGCTGGGACACCGGAGTGTCACCCTCACACTGGTGCTGGGGACACACAGGGGACATGGGGGACATGGGGACAGCTCAGGGGACATGGGGACAGCTCAGGGGACATGGGACAGGTCAGGGGATGGAGCTGGGACACCGGGCTGTCACCCTCACACTGGTGCTGAGGACAAGGGACAGCTGAGGGGACAGGTAAGGAGATGGACAGGTGAGGGGATGGACATGGGACGGGAGGGACACATGAGGGGACACACAGGTGAGGGGACACACAGGGAAGGGGACAGGTGAGGGGACAGGTGAGGGGAGGGACAGGTTAGGGGACACACAGGTGAGGGGACAGAGAAAGGGGACAGGTGAAGGGACAGACAGGTGAGGGGACAGGTGAAGAGGACACACAGGTGAGGGGACAGGTGAGGGGTCACACAGGTGAGGGGACAGGTGAGGGGTCACACAGGTGAGGGGACAGGTGAGGGGACACACAGGTGAGGGGACAGGTGAGGGGTCACACAGGTGAGGGGACAGGTGAGGGGATGGACAGGTGAGGGACCAGGTGAAGCGCAGGGGGTGTGACCCCCCCCAAACCCCACCCCTTTCCCCTCCCCCCTCCCATTCCGTGGCACCTTGATGGTCTCGTAGGAGCCGGTGATGAGGGCGATGAAGAGGCTGAGCACCATGTAGATGAAGAGGCTGATGAAGGTGTACAGGTACACCTGGCTGAAGAGCCACACCAGGTGGCTGTGCTGCTGCATCTCCGCAAACGTCACGAACATGTCGTCACCGTTGATGAGGGAGAACAGGCACTCGGACACCATGGACAGAGACCGGAACTGGGGGACAGTGTCACCTCTGTGTCACCCTGTGTCACCTCTGAGTCACCTCTGTGTCACCCTCCCTCTATGTCACCCTGTGTGTCACCCTGTGTGTCACCCCTCGTCACCGTTGATGAGGGAGAACAGGCACTTGGACACCATGGACAGGGACCGGAACTGGGGGGGACAGGGGGTGACAGCAGTGTCACCTGGAACCTCTGTGTCACCCTCCCTCTGTGTCACCCTCTGTGTCACCTCTGTGTCACCCTCCCTCTGTGTCACCCCCTGTGTCACCCTGTGTGTCACCCCTCATCACCGTTGATGAGGGAGAACAGGCACTCGGACACCATGGACAGAGACCGGAACTGGGGGACAGGGGTGACAGCAGTGTCACCTGTCACCTCTGTGTGTCACCTGTGTCACCCTGTGTCACCCTCCCTCTGTGTCACCCTGTGTGTCACCCCTCATGGCCATTGATAAGGGAGAACAGGCACTCGGACACCATGGACAGAGACCGGAACTGGGGGGGACAGTGTCACCTCTGTGTCACCTCTGTGTCACCCTCAGTGTCACCCTCTGTCACCCTCAGTGTCACCTCTGTGTCACCCCCTGTGTCACCTGTGTCACCCTCCCTCTGTGTCACCTGTGTCACCCTGTGTGTCACCCCTCGTCACCGCTGATGAGGGAGACAGGCACTCGGACACCATGGACAGGGCCGGAACTGGGGGACAGGGTGGCACAGTGTCACCTCTGTGTCACCTGTGTCACCCTCAGTGTCACCCTGTGTCACCCTCTGTGTCACCCTCTGTGTCACCCTGCGTCACCGTTGATGAGGGAGAACAGGCACTCGGACACCATGGACAGAGACCAGAACTGGGGGGGACAGCGTCACCTCTGTGTCACCTCTGTGTCACCTCTGTGTCACCCTCTGTGTCACCTCTGTGTCACCCCCCTGTGTCACCCTATGTGTCATCTGTGTCACCTCTGTGTCACCCTGTGTGTCACCCCTCGTCACCATTGATGAGAGAGAACAGGCACTCGGACACCATGGACAGAGACCGGAACTGGGGGGACAGGGGGTGATCATTCACCTCTGTGTCACCTCTGTGTCACCCTCAGTGTCACCTGTGTCACCCTCAGTGTCACCTGTGTCACCCTGTGTCACCCTGTGTCACCCCTCGTCACCGCTGAGGGAGAACAGGCACTCGGACACCATGAACTGGGGGAGAGGGCGGGGTCACCTCAGTGTCACCTCTGTGTCACCCCATGTCACCTCCCCGTGTCACCCCTGGTGTCACCCCCACTTGTCACCCCATGTGCCACCAGGAAGGGAAACTGAGGCAAAGGTCAGCGTGAGCCTGAATCCATCTGATCCCAAATCCAGCTGCTCCCAAACCTGGGACTGGGGAAGGGATTTGGGGAAGGAAACACAAACCCCAAAATGGGAATTTGGGGGAAGGAAACACAACCCTCAGCCCAGGGATTTGGGGAAAAGGGAACACAAACCCCAAAACAGGGATTTGGGAAGAAAACACAACCCCCAAAACAGGGTTTTGTGGAGGGGAACACAAGTCCCAAAATGGGGGGGTTGGGGAGGGAACACAACCCCAAAAACAGGGATTTGGGGGTAGAAAACACAAATCCCAACACAGGGATTTGGGGAGAGGGAACACAAATCCCAACACAGGGATTTGGGAAGGGAATACAAACTCCAAAATGGGGTTTTGGGGAGGGAACACAACCCCCAAACAGGGATTTGGGAAGGGAATACAACCCCCAAAATGGGGATTTGGGGAGGGAACACAAACCCCAAACCAGGGATTTGGGGAGAGGGAACACAAATCCCAACACAGGGATTTGGGGAGAGGGAACACAAACCCCAAACCAGGGATTTGGGGAGAGGGAACACAACCCCAAAACAGGGATTTGGGAAGAAAACACAACCCTCAAAACAGGGTTTTGTGGAGGGGAACACAAGCCCCAAAATGGGGGGGTTGGGGAGGGAACACAACCCCAAAAACAGGGATTTGGGGGTAGAAAACACAACCCTCAGCACAGGGATTTGGGGAAAGGAAACACAACCCCCAAACCAGGGATTTGGGGGAAGGGAACACAACCCCCAAAATGGGGATTTGGGGGTAGGAAACACAACCCTCAGCACAGGGATTTGGGGAAAAGGGAACACAAACCCCAAAACAGGGATTTGGGAAGAAAACACAACCCCCAAAACAGGGATTTGGGGAGAGGGAACACAAACCCCAAAACAGGGATTTGGGAAGAAAACACAACCCCCAAAACAGGGTTTTGTGGAGGGGAACACAAGCCCCAAAATGGGGGTTTGAGGAGGGAACACAACCCCAAAACCAGGGATTTGGGGGTAGAAAACACAAATCCCAACACAGGGTTTTGGAGGTAGAAAACACAAATCCCAACACAGGGATTTGGGGAGAGGGAACACAAATCCCAATACAGGGATTTGGGGGTAGAAAACACAAATCCCAACACAGGGATTTGGGGGTAGAAAACACAAATCCCAACACAGGGATTTGGGGAGCAGGGAACACAAACCCCAAAACAGGGATTTGGGGAGAGGGAACACAAACCCCAAAACAGGGATTTGGGAAGGGAATACAACCCCCAAAATGGGGTTTTTGGGGAGGGAACACAAACCCCAAACCAGGGATTTGGGAGAGGGAACACAAATCCCAACACAGGGATTTGGGGAGAGGGAACACAAACCCCAAAATGGGGATTTGGGAAGAAAACACAACCCCCAAAACAGGGATTTGGGAAGAAAACACAACCCCCAAACCAGGGATTTGGGGGAAGGAAACACAACCCCCAAAACAAGGATTTGGGGGTAGAAAACAACCCTCAGCACAGGGATTTGGGAAAAGGGAACACAACCCCCAAAATGGGGGGGTTTGGGGAGAGGGAACACAACCCCAAATACAGGGATTTGGGGGTAGAAAACACAAATCCCAACACAGGGTTTTGGAGAGAGGGAACACAAATCCCAACACAGGGATTTGGGGAGAGGGAACACAAACCCCAAACCAGGGATTTGGGAAGAAAACACAACCCCCAAAACAGGGTTTTGGGAAGGGAATACAACCCCCAAAATGGGGTTTTTGGGGAGGGAACACAAACCCCAAACCAGGGATTTGGGAGCAGGGAACACAAATCCCAACACAGGGATTTGGGGAGAGGGAACACAACCCCCAAACAGGGATTTGGGGGTAGAAAACACAAATCCCAACACAGGGATTTGGGGAGAGGGAACACAACCCCCAGCAGGGTCACCCCAGCGGGATCCGGTGGGGATTTGGGAGTCCCCTGGCGCAGGGGGAGCCCCTAAAGCCCCTCAAATCCCCCCCCAAATCCCCCCCAAATCCCCTCAAATCCCCCCCAAACCCCTCCCAAAGCCCTCCCCGAGCCCACCTTGACGTGGTAGGGGCCCAGCACGATCCAGCCACAGAAGCAGTAGCCCAGGTAGATGACGGCCACGCAGCAGCAGAAGCGGATCACGTTGGGCAGGGCCACGCGCAAGGTGACGATGAGGATCTGAGGAGGGGGGGACAGAGGGGATGAACCCCCACCACCACCACCCCAAATTGGGGACAGCAGAGACCCCGAGGTGGCAGCACCACGGGAGAACACGTGGGGGAAGGGGGAGGGACATGGGGGGACCCCCAGCTCGGAGGAGGGGACCCCAAGGTGAGGGGACAAAGACCTGTGAGGCCCCAAAGATGGGGACCTGTGAGACCCCAAGGTGAGGGGACAGGAGCTGTGAGACCCCCAAGGGAGGGGACAGGAGCTGTGAGACCCCGAGGATGGGGACCTGAGAGACCCCAAGATGGGGACCTGTGAGAACCCAAGGTGAGGGGACAGGGACCTGTGAGACCCCCAAGGTGAGGGGACAGGAGCTGTGAGACCCCAAGGTGAGGGGACAGGGACCTGTGAGACCCCCAAATCTGAGGATGGGGACCTGTGAGACCCCAAAATCTGAGGATGGGGACCTGTGAGACCCCGAGGTGAGGGGATAGGGACCTGAAAGACCCTGAGGTGAGGGGACAGGGACCTTAAATACCCCAAGGTGAGGGGACAGGGACCTGTGAGACCCCAAAATCTGAGGATGGGGACCTGTGAGACCAAGATGAGGGGACAGGGACCTGTGAGACCCCAAGTTCCCCACCATGTGACCCTGGGGACAAAGGGCAGCAACCAAGGGACAACCCTAGCTCTGGCAGGACCCAGGGCCAGGAACTGCCCCCTGAGGGGCCATCCTGGCCATCCCCACCCCTGGAAGTGTCCCCTGAGGGGCCATCCCTGTCACTCCCACCCCTGGAAGTGTCCCTTGAGGGGCCATCCCTGTCACTCCCACCCCTGGAAGTGTCCCCTGAGGGGCCATCCCAGTCACTCTCAGCCCTGAAACTGCCCCCTGAGGGGCCATCCTGGCCATCCCCACCCATGGAACTGTCCCCTGCTGGGCCATCCCCACTCCTGGAACTGTCCCCTGAGGGGCCATCCCCACTCCTGGAAGTGTCCCCTGAGGGGCCATCCTGGTCAATGCCAGCCCTGGAACTGTCCCCTGAGGGGCCATCCCCACCCCTGGAATTGTCCCCTGAGGGGCCATCCTGACCAACCCCAGGCCCGGAATTGTCCCCTGAGGGGCCATCCCAGTCACTCCCACCCCTGGAACTGTCCCCTGAGGGGCCATCCCAGTCACTCCCACCCCTGGAACTGTCCCCTGAGGGGCCATCCTGGTCAATGCCAGCCCTGGAATTGTCCCCTGCCGGGCCATCCCCACCCCTGGAATTGTCCCCTGAGGGCCACCCCCACCCCTGGAATTGTCTCCTGCGGGGTCATCCCAGTCCCTCCCACCCCTGGAACTGTCCCCTCCCGGGCCATCCCCACCCCTGGAACTGTCCCCTGTGGGGTCATCCCAGTCCCTCCCAGCCCTGGAACTGTCCCCTCCCAGGCCACCCCCACCCCTGGAAGTGTCCCCTGGCGGTGGCAGGGCCGTCACTCACGTTGTACTTCTGGAAGAAGGTGAGGTAGCGGATGACCCCCACCCACACCAGCAGCGTGGATGTCCCCAGCAGGATGCTGCACACGTCGTACCCCGCGAAGTTCTGGGGGGGGGGACACGGGCGGTGCTGGCACCGGCACGACATCCCCAGCGCCGTCCCCGAGACCAACAAACCCCCCCCAACTCCCCCAGAGGGAATTCCTGGTGCCACCACGCCCTGTGAGTCACCCCCAAAAGGGCTCTGGGGTGACACTCGGGACCCTCTGGAGAGATGGGGGTGCTCTGGGACACCAGTGATGTTGTCACTGGGGCAGTGGCAACAGCCAGGAGTGACTTTTGGGGGTCAATGTCCCCTCCTGGAGGGCTCTGATGACATCCAGGGTGTCACTGGGTCACTGCGGACAGCACCCAGGGGTGGCTGTTGGGTGACAATGTCCCCTTCTGGAGCACTGGGGACACACCCAGGGGTGGCTGTTGGGTGACAATGTCCCCTCCTGGAGGGCTCTGGATGACATCCAGGGTGTCACTGGGTCACTGCCAGCACCCAGGGGTGGCTGTGGGGTAACAATGTCCCCTCCTGGGGCACTGGGGACATACCCAGGGGTGGCTGTGGGGTGACAATGTCCCCTCCAGGGGCACAGGGGACATCCAGGACATTGTCACTGGGTCACTGCCAACACCCAGGGGTGGCTGTGGGGTGACAATGTCCCCTCCTGGAGCACAGGGGACACATCCAGAGGTGGCTGTGGGGTGACAATGTCCCCTCCTGGAAGGCTCTGATGACATCCAGGGTGTCACTGGGGCATTGGCAACACCCAGGAGTGGCTTTTGGGGGTCAATGTCCCCTCCTGAAGGGCTCTGGATGACATCCAGGGTGTCACAGGGGCATTGGTAACACCCAGGGGTGGCTGTGGGGTGGTAATGTCCCCTCCTGGAGCACTGGGGACATACCCAAGGGTGGCTGTGGGGTGGCAATGTCCCCTCCTGGAGCACTGGGGACATACCCAGGGGTGTCACTGGGTCACTGCCAGCACCCAGGGGTGGCTGTTGGGTGACAATGTCCCCTCCTGGAGGGCTCTGGATGACATCCAGGGTGTCACAGGGGCATTGGCAACACCCAGGGGTGGCTGTGGGGTGACAATGTCCCCTCCTGGAGGGCTCTGATGACATCCAGGGGTGACAATGTCCCCTCCTGGAGCACTGGGGACATCCAGGACATTGTCACTGGGTCACTGCCAGCACCCAGGGGTGGCTGTGGGGTGACAATGTCCCCTCCTGGAGGGCTCTGGATGACATCCAGGGTGTCACTGGGGCACAGGGGACACACCCAGAGGTGGCTGTTGGGTGACAATGTCCCCTCCTGGAGCACAGGGGACATCCAGGACATTGTCACTGGATCACTGCCAGCACTCAGGGATGGCTGTTGGGTGACAATGTCCCCTCCTGGAGCACTGGGGACACACCCAGGGGTGGCTGTTGGGTGACAATGTCTCCTCCTGGAGGGATTTGATGACATCCAGGGTGTCACTGGGTGACTGCCAGCACCCAGGGGTGGCTGTGGGGTGACAATGTCCCCTCCAGGGGCACAGGGGACACACCCATGGGTGGCTGTGGGGTGACAACGTCCCCTCCAGGGGCACAGGGGACAGCCCCAGGGGTGGCTGTGGGGTGGCAATGTCCCCTCCTGGAGCACAGGGGACAGCCCCAGGGGTGGCTGTGGGGTGGCAATGTCCCCTCCTGGAGCACAGGGGACATCCAGGACATCGTCACTGGGTGACTGCCAGCACCCAGGGGTGGCTGTGGGGTGACAATGTCCCCTCCTGGAGGGCTCTGATGACATCCAGGGGTGACAATGTCCCCTCCAGGGGCACTGGGGACACACCCAGGGGTGGCTGTGGGGTGACATTGACCCCTCCTGGAGGGCTCTGATGACATCCAGGGGTGACAATGTCCCCTCCTGGAGCACTGGGGACACACCCAGGGGTGGCTGTGGGGTGACAATGTCCCCTCCTGGAGCACTGGGGACACACCCAGGGGTGGCTGTTGGGTGACAATGTCCCCTCCTGGAGCACAGGGGACAGCCCTGGTGCCCCCCCCAGCCCCTCCCCCAGACCTTGGCCTCGATGCCGATCTTCATGAGGGTGCCCAGCACGGTGAGGACGTCGCTGATGACCAGCAGGATGTACCACCCGTTCAGGAATTCCATGCGGTCCGACAGGGACACGCCGCGCCCGTAGCGGCGATGGAAGAACCGGCTGAACTCCTGTGGGGTCAGGGGGGGTCACATGGGGGGTTTGCCACCCCCACTCCGCCCAGGAAGGGGGTCACGGCACCCACAGCTCCCCCCTGGGAAAGGGGTTCCTCTGGAATCCTGGGAGTGGTGTTGGGGGGATGTCCCCAACGGGGACACCTCGAGGGGAGGTTGCGAGTGACGCCACTGCCCAGTGCTTCCCAGTGCTTCCCACTGCTTCCCAGCCCTTCCCACTGCCTCCCACTGCTTCCCAGCCCTTCCCACTGCTTCCCAGCCCTTCCCACTGCTTCCCAACCCTTCCCAGTGCCTCCCACTGCTTCCCAACCCTTCCCACTGCCTCCCAGTCCTTCCCACTGCTTCCCAACCCTTCCCAGTGCCTCCCAGTGCTTCCCACTGCCTCCCAACCCTTCCCATTGTTTCCCAGTGCTTCCCACCCTTCCCAACCCTTCCCATCGCTTCCCAGTGCTTCCCACTGCTTCTCAACCCTTCCCACTGCTTCCCAACCCTTCCCAACCCTTCCCACTGCTTCTCAACCCTTCCCACTGCTTCCCAACCCTTCCCAACCCTTCCCACTGCCTCCCACTGCTGCCCAACCCTTCCCAACCCTTCCCACTGCCTCCCACTGCTTCCCAACCCTTCCCACTGCTTCCCACTGCTTCCCAACCCTTCCCACTGCTTCCCAACCCTTCCCACTGCTTCCCAGCCCTTCCCACTGCTTCCCAACCCTTCCCACTGCCTCCCACCACTTCCCAACCCTTCCCAACCCTTCCCAGTGCCTCCCACTGCTTCCCATCACTTCCCAACCCTTCCCACTGCCTCCCACCGCCTCCCACCATCTCCCACCATCTCCTACCATCTCCTACCATCTCCTACTCCTTCCCACCCCTTCCCACCATCTCCCACTTCCCACCATCTCCCACCATCTCCCACTCCTTCCCACCACCTCCCAACCCTTCCCACCATCTCCCCTCCTTCCCACCATCTCCCACCCCCTCTCATCATCTCCCAACCCTTCCCACTGCCTCCCACCCCTTCCTACCATCTCCCACTCCTTCCCACCATCTCCCACCCTTCCCACCATCTCCCACTCTTTCCCACTCATCTCCCCACCCCTTCCCACCATCTCCCACCCTCTCCTACCCTCCTCCCACCCCTTCCCACCATCTCCCACTCCTTCCCACCCTCTCCCACCCCTTCCCACCCTTCTCACCCCTTCCCACCCCCTCCCACCCCCTCCCACCCTCCCACCCCTTCCCACCATCTCCCACTCCTTCCCACCCTCTCCCACCCCTTCCCACCCCTTCCCACCACCTCCCACCCCCTCCCACCCCTTCCCACCATCTCCCCACTCCTTCCCACCATCTCCCACTCCTTCCCACCCTCTCCCACCCCTTCCCACCACCTCCCAACTCCTTCCCACCATCTCCTCCCCTTCCCACCCTCTCCCCCCTTCCCACCATCTCCCACTCCTTCCCACCATCTCTGCTCCCCTTCCCACCATCTCCCACCCTTCCTACCATATCCCGTCCTTCCCACCATCTCCCACCCTCCCACCCCTTCCCAACACCTCCCACCCTTCCTGCGCTCCTCCCACCTCTCCACCATCTCCCCTCCTTCCCACCCTCTCCCCCCATTCCCCCTCTCCCTCAGCCTCCCCCCGTCCCCCACGCACGAGCTGCAGGGCGAGGCCGCGGACGATGGAGCGGGCGCAGAGGATGAAGGACAAGGAGCACACGAGGATGACGATGACATCGAAGAACAGCCGGAAGGAATTGTCACCTGCAGGACACACGGGGAGGGGCTGCTCGGAACCTGGGGGACCTCCTGAGCCCCTCTACGGCCTGTTGTCACCCCCCTGGGGACAGGAGCCACCATTGGGGACAGGAGTCACCTCTGGGGACAGAAATCACCCTCTGGGGACAGAAATCACCCTTTGGGGACAGTAGCCACCCATGGGGACAGAAATCACCCTTTGGGGACAGAAATCACCCTTTGGGGACAGGAGGCACCCCTGGGGACAAAAATCACCCTCTGGGGACAGAAGGCACGCCCTGGGGACAGGAGCCACCACTGGGGACAGGAGCCACCCTCTGGGGACAGGAGGAACTCCCTGGGGACAGGAGGAACTCCTTGGGGACAGGAGCCACCCCAGGGGACAGGAGCCACCTCTGGGGACAGGAATCACCCTCTGGGGACAGAAGGCACTCCCTGGGGACAAAAATCACCCTCTGGGGACAAAAATCACCCTCTGGGGACAGAAGGCACCCCCTGGGGACAGGAGCCGTCACTGGGGACAGGAGCCACCCCCTGGGGACAGGAGGCACTCCCTGGGGACAGAAATCACCCCCTGGGGACAGGAGACACCCCTGGGGACAGGAGCCACCCCTGGGGACAGGAGCCACCCTCTGGGGACAGGAGCCACCCCCTGGGGACAGGAGGCACTCCCTGGAGACAGAAATCACCCCCTGGGGACAGGAGCCCCTCTCGTGGACAGGAGCCATCACTGGGGACAAGAGCCACCCCCTGGGGACAGGAGGAACTCCCGGGGACAGGAGGAACTCCTTGGGGACAGAATCCACCTCTGGGGACAGGAACCACCCCCTGGGGACAGAAGGCACTCCCTGGGGACAGGAGCCACCCCTGGGGACAGGAGCCACCATGGGGACAGGAACCACCCTTTGGGGACAAAAATCACCCTTTGGGGACAGGAGGCACCCCCTGGGGACAGGAGCCACCACTGGGGACAGGAGCCACCAATGGGGACAGGAGCCACCCCCTGGGGACAGGAGTCACCCCTTGGGGACAGGAGCCACCACTGGGGACAGAAATCACTCTTTGGGGACAGAAATCACCCTTTGGGGACAGGAGGCACCCCCTGGGGAGAGGAGCCACCCCTGGGGACAGGAGCCACCCATGGGGACAGGAGCCACCACTGGGGACAGGAGTCACCCCTGGGGACAGAAGGCACCCCCTGGGGACAAAAATCACCCTCTGGGGACAAAAATCACCCTTTGGGGACAGGAGTCACCCCCTAGGGACAGGAGGCACCCCCTGGGGACAGGAGCCATCACTGGGGACAGGAGCCACCACTGGGGACAGGAGCCATCACTGGGGACAAGAGCCACCCCCTGGGGACAGAAGGCATCCCCTGGGGACAGGAATCACCCTTTGGGGACAGGAGGTACCCCCTGGGGACAGGAGCCACCCCCTGGGGACAGGAGCCACCCCTGGGGACAGAAGGCACTCCCTGGGGACAGGAGCCACCCCTGGGGACAGAAGGCACTCCTTGGGGACAGGAGCCACCCCCTGGGGACAGGAACCACCCTCCCTTGTCCCACCTCTCCCGAAGACTGAGGGGTCCTTGCACTGCTTGATGTGGGCGTGGTTGTCCAGGTGGATCCTCACCCGCCCGCTGTGGGCCTTGTTGTCAAACGTGATCTGGGGACAGGGGCACGGTCACCAGCCACTCACCACCCACACAACACCCACACAACACCCACTCAACAGCCACTCAACACCCACACAACACCCACACAACACCCACTCACCACCCACACAACACCCTCTCACCATCCACTCAACACCCACACAACACCCACACAACACCCACTCACCACCCACACAACACCCACACAACACACCACCCACACAACACCCACTCACCACCCACACAACACCCACACAACACCCACTCACCACCCACACAACACCCACACAACACCCACACAACACCCACTCACCACCCACACAACACCCTCTCAACACCCACTCAACACCCACACAACACCCACTCACCACCCCTCGGGGACTGTCCCCGTCCCTCCCAGGGACACCAGGGGTGTGAGGGACATGCGAGGCACACGGGGGCAAAGGGACACAAGAGGGATGCGAGGGGCACGGGAGGGGCACGGGGACAGAGGGACACATGAAGGACAAGGGGGACACAGGGACTCAAGGGACACCTGAGGGACACGGGACAGAGGGACACAGGATGGGGACACAAAGGACAGGAGAGACACAAGGGATGGGAAGGACACATGAGGGGAACACCAGGGGGAGACAAAGGACAAGAGGGACACTTTGGGGACAGAGGGACATGGGAGGGACAGGCAAGGGATGCAGGGACATGAGGGACACACGAGGGACAGGAGGGACACGAGGGGGACACAAAGGACAAGAGGAACACACAGGGGACAGAAGGACACGGGAGGGACAGAGGGACACACAGAGGGACACCAGGGGGACACAAAGGACAAGAGGGACACACAGGGGACAGGAGGAACACGAGGGACACGAGGGGGACACAAAGGACAAGAGGGACACACAGGGGACAGAGGGACGGGCGAGGGACAGGAGGGGGACACAAGGGGTGGGAGGGACACGTGAGGGGGACACCAGGGGAACACGAAGGACAAGAGGGACACGGGAGGGACACAGGGACAGAGAAGAGCCATGATGGGACGTGAGGGACACACATGAGGGGGACACACAAGGGGGACACCCGAGGAGGACACAGGAGGGGGCCCCCCCAGGACCCCCATTGCCGGGGGCTCACGGTGATGGTGAAGGTGTAGCAGTCGGGGATCTCGTTGTTGATGATGGTCTGGACGTTGATGGCCTTGAGCTGGAACTGGATGGTGACGTTGACGAGCCTGGGGAGGGACCCCCCTCAATCCTCGACCCTCAACCCTCAATCCTCAATATTCGATCCTCAATCCTCAAACCTCGATCCTCAATTCTCAATCCTCGATCCTCAACCCTCAATCCTCAATATTCAACCCTCAACCCTCAATCCTCGATCCTCAATCCTCAACTCTCAATCCTCAACTCTCAATCCTCAACCCTCAATCCTTGACCCTCAATCCTCGACCCTCAACCCTCAATCCTCAATCCTCAATCCCGGGGCTTTCCAAGGGGGTCTCAGCCCCCCCTTCCCTCCCCCCAAAAAGGGAACACAACACCCAGGATTTGGGAAGAGGAACCAAACCCCGGCACCAGGTTTTGGGGAAGGGAAGCAACCCCTGGCACTGGGATTTGGGGAAGTGGGGATTTACTTGTGGAATTTGAGGGTGAAGTTCCTGTAGGTGCCATCCAGAGCTGGGGGCTGGGGGTCCTCAGGATCCACCCCCAGGCAATCTGTGGGGTGGAGAAGAACCTTCAGGGCATCCCAAGCACTTCCAGGAAATCTCAAACACTTTAAGGAAATCCCAAACACTTCCAGGCCATCCCAAGCACTCCCAGGCCATCCCAAGCACTTCAAGGAAATCCCAAACACTTCCAGGCAATCCTCAGACATTTCCAGGGCATCCCAAATACCTCCAGGGCATCCCAAACACTTTAAGGAAATCCAAAACACTTCCAGGTAATCCCAAACACTTCCAGGCCACCCCAAACACTTCCAGGAAATCCCAAACACTTCCAGGCAATCCCAAACATTTCCAGGGCATCCCAAATACCTCCAGGGCATCCCAAACACTTCAAGGAAATCCCAAACACTTTAAGGAAATCCCAAACACTTCTAGGGTATCCCAAACACTTTAAGGAAATCTCAAACACTTCCAGGCCACCCCAAACACTTCCAGACCATCCCAAGTACCCCCCCTCCCTCCCAGACCCTCCCCAGCCTGGAGTGACACCCCAACCCCTCCCAGGCCCCCGTGGTAGCTTTGGGACGTTGTCTGATGGCCCCACCTCCCTCCCCAGACCCACCTGTGACGATGTGGGGGTCGATGTTGAAGGTGTCGTTGGCGGGGTCGATGCGGCCCTTGCGGAAGTAGCGCTGGCACAGCAGGAGGGCCGAGCCGTTCCCGGCCCCGCCGCGCACGTAGGCGTAACGCCCGAGGGCCTCGCTGGGCAGCGCCAGGTACTGCGGGACAGGGGGTCTTCAGGGGGTGGAGGTGACCCCAAACCACCCCTGTGACCCCAAACCACCCCTGTGACCCCAAACCACTTCCATCACCCCACACCACTTTGTGTCCCCAAATCACCCCCCTGTCCCCACTCGTACGCGTAGCGCCCGAGGGCCTCGCTGGGCAGCGCCAGGTACTGAGGGACAGGGGGCCCTAAGGGGATGAAGGTGGCCCCAAACCACCCCCGTGACCCCAAACCACCCCCGTGTGCCCAAACCACCTCCATGACCCCCCATCATCTCCGTGTCCCCAAATCACCCCAATGTCCCCGCACGTACGCGTAGCGCCCGAGGGCCTCGCTGGGCAGCGCCAGGTACTGCGGGACAGGGGGCCTTCAGGGGGTGCAGGTGGCCCCAAACCACCCCTGTGACCCCAAACCACCCCTGTGACCCCAAATCACCCCAATGTCCCCACACCACTCTGTGTCCCCACATGTACGCGTAGCGCCCGAGGGCCTCGCTGGGGATGGCCAAGGACTGCGGGGCAGGGGGCCTTCAGGGGGTGGAGGTGGTCCCAAACCACCCCTGTGACCCCAAACCACCCCCACAGCCCTGAGAATCCCTGTGTCCCCACACGTACGCGTAGCGCCCGAGGGCCTCGCTGGGCAGCGCCAGGTACTGCGGGACAGGGGGCCTTCAGGGGGTGCAGGTGGTCCCTGTGACCCCAAACCACCCCCGTGACCCCCCATCATCTCTGTGTCCCCAAATCACCCCAATGTCCCCACACGTACGCGTAGCGCCCGAGGGCCTTGCTGGGCAGCGCCAGGTACTGCAGGACAGTGGGTCTTCAGGGGGTGGAGGTGGCCCCAAACCATCCCCGTGACCCTAAACCACCTCCATCACCCCAAACCACCCCTGTGACCCCAAACCACCCCACGACGTAGCGCCCGAGGGCCTCGCTGGGCAGCGCCAGGACTGCAGGACAGGGGCCTCAGGGTGCAGGTGGCCCCAAACCACCCCGTGACCCCAAACACCCGTGCCCCAAACCACCTCCATGACCCCCATCATCTCCGTGTCCCCAAATCACCCCATGTCCCCACATAGGCGTAGCGCCAGGGTCTCGCCAGATAGCCCAGGACTGCGGGACAGGGGCTTCAGGGGGTGCAGGTGACCCCAAACCCCCCTGTGACCCCAAACCACCTCCATGACCCCACAGCACTCTGTGTCCCCACATGTACGCGTAGCGCCCGAGGGCCTCGCTGGGCAGCGCCAGGTACTGCGGGACAGGGGACCCTCAGGGGGTGCAGGTGGCCCCAAACCCCCCTGTGACCCCAAACCACCCCTGTGACCCCAAACCACCTCCATGACCCATCATCCCGTGTCCCCAGATCATCCCCCTGCCCCCACTCATAGCTGTAGTGGCCGATGGCCTCGCTGGGGATGGCCAAGGACTGCGGGACAGGGGGACCTCAGGGGGTGCAGGTGGTCCCTGTGACCCCAAACCACCTCCGTGACCCTTCCATCATCTCCTGTGTCCCCAAATCACCCCCATGTCCCCACACGCAGGTGTAGCACCGATGGCCTTGCTGGGCATGCGCCAAGGACTGCAGGACAAGGTGGGCTCAGGGGTGGAGGTGGCCCCAAGACCACCCCTGTGACCCTAAACCACCTCCATCACCCCAAACCACCCCTGTGACCCCAAACCACCCCCACAGCCCTGAGAATCCCTGTGTCCCCACACGCAGGCGTAGCACCCGAGGGCCTCGCTGGGCATGCGCCAGGTACTGCGGGACAGGGGGCCTTCAGGGGGTGCAGGTGGGCCCAAACCACCCCCGTGACCCCAAAACACCCCTGTGACCCCAAACCACCCCCGTGACCTCAAACCACCTCCATGACCCCACAGCACTCTGTGTCCCCACATGTATGCGTAGCGCCCGAGGGCCTCGCTGGGCAGCGCCAGGTACTGCGGGACAGGGGGCCCTCAGGGGGTGCAGGTGGCCCCAAACCCCCCTGTGACCCCAAACCACCTCCATGACCCCACAGCACTCTGTGTCCCCACACGTATGCATAGCGCCCGATGGCCTCGCTGGGCAGCGCCAGGTACTGCGGGACAGGGGACCCTCAGGGGGTGCAGGTGACCCCAAACCACCCCTGTGACCCCAAACCACCCCTGTGTCCCCAAACCACTTCCATGACCCCTCATCATCTCCGTGTCCCCAAATCACCCCCCTGTCCCCACTCATAGGTGTAGCACCCGATGGCCTCGCTGGGGATGGCCAAGGACTGCAGGACAAGGTGCCTTCAGGGGCTGCAGGTGGCCCCAAACCACCCCTGTGACCCCAAACCACCCCTGTGACCCCAAACCACCTCCATGACCCCTCATCATGTCTGTGTCCCCAAATCACCCCTGTCCCCACTCGTAGGTGTAGCACCCGATGGCTTCGTTGGGGACAGCCAGGTACTGCAGGACAAGGTGGTCTCAGGGGTTGGAGGTGGCCCCAAACCACCCCCATGACCCCAAACCACCTCCATGACTCCTCATCATCTCCGTGTCCCCAAATCACCCCCATGTCCCCACTTGTAGGTGTAGCACCCGATGGCCTCGCTGGGGATGGCCAGGTACTGCGGGACAAGGTGCCTTCAGGGGCTGCAGGTGACCCTGAGCCACCTCCACATCCCCAGACCCCCCCTGTGCCCCCACCCCACCCGTGCCCCACCTTCTCCAGGGCGTAGAAGACGCGCTCGTAGAGGTCCCGCTGGGTGTAGACGGCGTAGGAGTCGTCGGCGCCGTCCACGTAGTCCTTGAGGAAGAGGTGCTTGAAGGCCACCGTGTTCTCCTCCTTGAAGGCCACCACCATCTGGTTGCTGAGCCCGAAGAGGATGAGCTGGGGGATGAAGGCCACCGCCATCAGCCCCGCGGTGACCCCACAGCGGTGCCACCACAGCCTCCAAAATGCCCCCCAAAAGAGGCTCCCGGGAGGGGAAACGGCATCACCGCCACGTGACTGGGGGGGACCTCGAGGTGACAGGGGCAGGTGGCACCTGGTGAGCCCCAAAACCTCTGGAACTGCCCCGTTTTCCTGAGGCAAAGCCCCTGTCCCAGCGGAGGTGGGGGGACGATCTCCTTGGGGACACGGGTGTCACACCACAGATGGGGGAGGACAAATCCCCCTGGGGACACCCATGTCCTGATGGAGGGGACAATCCCCTTGGGGACACTTGTGTCCCATCACGGATTGAGGACAATGTCCTTGGGGACACCCATGTCCTGATGGAGGGGACAATCTCCCTGGGGACACCCATGTCCTGATGGAGGGGTGGGTCACACTGTCCCACCACAGATAGATTGCAGGACAATGTCCCTGGGGACACCCATGTCCTGATGGAGGGGACAATCTCCTTGGGGACACTTGTGTCCCATCATGGATTGAGGACAATGTCCTTGGGGACACCCATGTCCTGATGGAGGGGACAATCTCCTTTGAGGACACTTGTGTCCCATCATGGATTGAGGACAATGTCCTTGGGGACACCCACGTCCTGATGGAGGGGACAATCCCCTTTGGGGACACACTGTCCCACCACAGACAAGGGGAGGACAATCCCACTGGGGACACTCATGACCGCACAATGTCCCCAAACACCCCCCCGGGAAACCTGAGGATCCCAAACTTCCTCTTCCCCCTCATTGTTTTCCCTGCTCCGAACCCCTCCCCGCGCCCTTAATTAGCTCCTATTAATTAACCGTGCCCCTGATTAGCAGGGCAAAGGCTCAGGGTGACAGCGGGTGACAGCGGGTGACAGGACAAGGCGGTTGTGCTGAGTAAGCAGAACGAGGGGGGCCCGGTGTCCCCGCTGAGGGGGGATGTCACATGCCACCCGCTTCCTCCCTGTCCCGTGACCGTGTTCCACACCAGCCCAGGGGCAGGTGACAGCCCTGCCTGTCCCCCCCCCTTTTGGGGACACTCTGGCGCCACCCCGGTGTCCCCAGGCCTCACTGAGTGTCCCCTCCCTTGTCCCCCAGTGCCCACCTCAGTGTCACCTCCCAATGACACTGAGCACGTGTGTCATTGTCACCCCCCCCCCGGTGTCCTGTGTCCCAGTGTCCCTGTGCCCGCTGTCCCCCGGTGCCACCCACCCTGGCATCTCCCTCCATGTCCCAGGGGACCCTTCCCACTGTTCCCCCTCCCCTGTGTCCCAGCCCCCCTGCCCAATGTCCCCATGTCCCTGTACCCCCTCCTGTGTCCCAGCCCCCTGCCCACTGTCCCCATGTCCCTGTACCCCTCCCCAGTGTCCCAGCCCCCTGCCCACTGTCCCCATGTCCCTGTGCCCCTCCCTGTGTCCCAACCTCCCCTGCCCAATGTCCCCACATCCCTGTGCCCTCCCTGCTGTCTCCATGTCCCTGTGCCCCCTCCCTGCTGTCTCCATGTCCGTACCCCCTCCCCTGTGTCCCAGACCCCCTGCCCAATGTCCCCATGTCCCTGTGCCCCCTCCTGTGTCCCAGCCCCCTGCCCAATGTCCCCATGTCCCTGTGCCCCCTCCTGTGTCCCAACCCCCTGCCCAATGTCCCCATGTCCCTGTGCCCCTCCCCTGTGTCCCCACATCCCTGTACCCCCTTCCCCTGTGTCCCAGCCCCCTCCCCCGATGTCCCCACATCCCTGCCCCCCCACTGTCCCCACATCCCTGTAACCCTCCCCAGTGTCCCAGCCCCCTGCCCAATGTCCCCATGTCCCTGTGCCTCCCCGTGTCCCAACCCCCTTCCCGCTGTCCCCACCCCCTGTGCTCCCTCCCCTATGTCCCCCCCCTACCTGGACGGTGACGAGGATGATCTTGGCGAGCTGCAGCCCGAGCTTCACGGGCCTCCTGCCGCGGGCTCGGTACTTGTCGCAGGGGCTCATGAAGAAGTACTTGAGGCGACGGCGAAGCTCCAGCTCCTCCCGCTCCTCCCGCTCCTCCCGCTCGTCCCGCTCCGCCGCCGGGGCCGCCTCGGCCGCGCCGTACCCGGGGCCGCGGCTCAGCAGCCGCTCGGTCTCTGCGGGCACCGGGGCGGCTCGGACGGGGGGACACGGAGCCCCGCGGTGTGCCCGCTGTCACCTCCCTGTCCCCGTGTCCCTCCCCATGCCCGGTGTCACCTCCCTGTCCCCGTGTCCCTCCCCATGCCCGGTGTCACCCCCTGTCCCCGTGTCCGGTTCTCGGTGTCCCCCTCCGCCCGCCGTCACCTCCCTGTCCCCGTGTCCCTCCCCATGCCCGGTGTGTCACCCCTGTCCCCGTGTCCGGTTCTCGTGTTCCCTCCGCCCGCCGTCACCTCCCTGTCCCCGTGTCACCTCCCTGTCCCCGTGTCCCTCCCTGCCCGGTGTCACCCCCTGTCCCCATGTCCGGTTCTCGGTGTCCCCCAGCCGCCGTCATCTCCCTGTCCCTGCTCCTCCCCATGCCCGGTGTCACCCCCTGTCCCTGTGTCCTCCTCATGCCCGGTGTCACCCTCTGTCCCCATGTCCAGGCCTCGGTGTCCCCTCAGCCCGCCATCACCTCCCTGTCCCCGTGTCTCCTCCCCATGCCCAGTGTCACCTCTGTCCCCGTGTCAGTTCCCGTGTCCCCCAGCCTGCCAGTCACCTCCCTGTCCCCGTGTCCCCATGCCGGTGTCACCCCCTATCCCTGTGTCCTCTCTGCCCGTGTCACCCCCTGTCCCCATGTCCGTCCTGGTGTCCCCCAGCCCGCTGTCACCCCCCTGTCCCCATGTCCGGTTCTCGGTGTCCCCCCAGCCCGCTGTCACCTCCCTGTCCCCATGCCCGGTTCTCGGTGTGCCCTCAGCCCGCTCTCACTTCCCTGTCCCGGTCTCACTCACCCCCCGGTGTCACCCCCTGTCCCGGTGTCACCCCCTGTCACCGGTGTCAACCTTCCCCCCATTCGGTCCCATCTCGCCCCGGTGTCCCCTCAACCCGGTGTCACTCCCTGTCCCGCTGTCACCCCCTGTCCCGGTCTCACTCGCCCCGGTGTTCCCCCGCCCACTCCTCCGTGTCCCCTCAGCCCGCTGTCACCTCCGTACCCCTATCCCCCCTCTCGCCACTCCTCGGTGTCCCCTCAGCCCGCTGTCACCTCCTTGTCCGGGTCCCACCTCGCCCCGGTGCCACTTCTTGTCCCGGTGTCTCCCCCTGTCCCCGTGTCCCCCCTATTCCTATTCCTGCTCCCCATCACCGGACGCCGCCGTCTGCCCTGTCCCGGTGTCACCCCCCTATTCCCTGCTCCCCTGTCCCGGTGTCCCCCCAGTGTCCCCCAGTCCCGATGTCACCCCCTATTCCCTGCTCCTGTCCCGGTGTCACCCCCAGTGTCCCCTGGTCCCGATGTCACCCCCCTATTCCCTGCTCCCCCTGTCCCGGTGTCACCCCCAGTGTCCCCTGGTCCTGATGTCACCCCCCTATTCCCTGCTCCCCCTGTCCCGGTGTCACCCCCAGTGTCCCCTGGTCCCGATGTCACCCCCCTATTCCCTGTCCCGGTGTCCCCCCCAGTGTCCCCTGGTCCCGATGTCACCCCCCTATTCCCTGCCCCCTGTCCCGGTGTCCCCCCAGTGTCCCCTCGGTCCCGATGTCACCCTCTTGTCCCGGTGTCCCCCTCAGTGTCCCCTGGTCCTGATGTCACCCTCTTGTCCCCGTGTCCCCCCCAGTGTCCCCTGGTCCCGATGTCACCCCCCTATTCCCTGCCCCTGTCCCGGTGTCCCCCTCCCAACCCCTCTTCCCGCTCCTATTCCGCTCCTCTCACCAGATGCCGCCGCCATGGCGCCGTCTCCCTATCCCGATGTGCTCCCGGTGTCCTCCCCCGTGCCGGTGCAACTCGGTGTCCCCCCTCAGTGTCCCCCTCAGTGTCCCCCTCTCCCTCGCTCCCCCTCACCGGACGCCTCCGCCATGGCGAGGCCTCGCCCGCCCCGCCCCTTCACGTGACCGGAAAAAAACACGGCCCCGCCCACCTGCTCGCACCCACCAATCACCGCACCCACCCGCCCTCTCATTTGCATAACCACGCCCATTTCTCTTAGCTCAGAGCGCGGTGGTTCCGCCCACTGCCTCCGAGCCCCGCCTACCGATGGCGGTGACCACGCCCACTCATCTCATCGATGTGTTTGTGAGCCCGCCCACCGACTGCGGTGACCACGCCCACGCACCGCCCTCTGTTGTTTGACCACGCCCCCTTAATGATGTGATCACGCCCACCCAGCTCTTGACTCCGCCCCTCGCCGGCCTCGGTGGGGACAGTGACGTCGGACATGGGGGGACACGGACATGGACGGGGACATCAGGTATGGGGGGGGTCATGGCCATGAATGGTGACATGGAGGGACACAGATGTGGACAGTGACATGGGGGTGACACGGACTTATGGAGGGTGACATGGAGGGACACAGACGGGGACAGTGACATGGGGTGACACAGTTATGGATGGTGACATGGAGGGACACAGACAGGGACAGTGACATGGGGTGACACAGTTATGAATGGTGACATGGAGGGACACAGACAGGGACAGTGACATGGGGTGACACGGCCATGGATGGGGTCATGGAGGGACACAGACGTGGACAGTGACATGAGGTGACACGGCCGTGGAGGGTGACATAGAGGGATACAGACAGGGACAGTGACATGGGATGACATGGTCATGGAGGGTGACATGGAGGGACACAGACGGGGACAGTGACATGGGGTGACATGGCCGTGGATGGTGACATGGAGGGACACAGATGGGGACAGTGACATGGGGTGACACGGACATGGAGGGTGACATGAGGTGACACGGCCATGGATGGTGACATGGAGGGACACAGACAGGGACAGTGACATGGGGTGACACGGCCATGGAGGGTGTCATGGAGGGACACAGACGGGGACAGTGACATGGGGTGACACAGTTATGGATGGTGACATGGAGGGACACAGACAGGGACAGTGACAGGGGGTGACACGGCCATGGAGGGTGACATGGAGGGACACAGACAGGGACAGTGACATGGGGTGACACGGCCATGGAGGGTGACATGGAGGGACACAGATGGGGCCAGTGACATGAGGTGACACAGCTATGGATGGGGACATGGAGGGACACAGACGTGCACAGTGACATGGGGTGACACGGCCATGGAGGGTGACATACGGCCCAAGGGACACACCCACGGAGGGTGGCACGTGTCCCAGGAGGCCACACCCCCGTCAGGGCAGTGACAACATCACGGAGGGACAGCCCCACGTGCCACAGGATGTCCCGTGACCAAGGAGGACACACGGACACCATGAGAGCACCACAATGTCCCTTCTGTGCCACGTTTATTCCCTGCCGCTCCCCCCCGGCGCGACACCCACCCCGCAGGGTGTCCCCACGGTGTCCCCACGGTGTCCCCAGGGTGTCCCTCAGGCCGTGCCGCCGGGCAGCGGCTCCAGCAGCAGCCACAGCCCGTCCTCGGCGCGCAGGATCAGCTCCGGTTTGCGGCGCGGGGGCGGCCGCGCCGGGTCCCTCCGGAGCGAGAACCGCGACAGCGTCAGCGCCGTCACCACCTTCATCTCGGCCATGGCGAAGCTCTGCCCGATGCAGTTCCTACCACCACGGCCCCTGCTGTCACCTCCCGGGTGACACAGGTGCCACCACCACCACCATCACCCTCCCCACCACCACCTTCATCTTGGCCATGGCGAAGCTCTGCCCGATGCAGTTCCTGCCACCACGGCCCCCGCTGTCACCTCCTGGTGACACAGATGCCACTACCACCACCATCACCCCCACCACCACCTTCATCTCGGCCATGGTGAAGCTCTGCCCGATGCAGTTCCTGCCACCACAGCCTCCACTGTCACCTCCCGGGTGACACAGGTGCCACCACCACCACCATCACCCACCACCACCTTCATCTCGGCCATGGCGAAGCTCTGCCCGATGCAGTTCCTGCCACCACGGCCCCTGCTGTCACCTCCTGGGTGACACAGGTGCCCCCACCACCACCATCATCCCCCCCACCACCACCACCTTCATCTCGGCCATGGCGAAGCTCTGCCCGATGCAGTTCCTGCCACCACCAGGGCCCCCACTGTCACCTCCTGGGTGACACAGGTGCCCCCACCACCACCCCTGCCACCACCTTCATCTCGGCCATGGCGAAGCTCTGCCCGATGCAGTTCCTGCCACCACGGCCCCTGCTGTCACCTCCTGGGTGACACAGGTGCCACCACCACCACCATCACCCCCACCACCTTCATCTCGGCCATGGCGAAGCTCTGCCCGATGCAGTTCCTGCCACCACGGCCCCCGCTGTCACCTCCTGGGTGACACAGGTGCCACCACCACCACCATCACCCCCCCCACCACCTTCATCTCGGCCATGGCGAAGCTCTGCCCGATGCAGTTCCTGCCACCACCAGGGCCCTCGCTGTCACCTCCTGGGTGACACAGGTGCCCCCACCACCACCATCACCCCCACCACCACCTTCATCTCGGCCATGGCGAAGCTCTGCCCGATGCAGTTCCTGCCACCACAGCCTCCACTGTCACCTCCCGGGTGACACAGGTGCCACCACCATCACCTCCCCCACCACCTTCATCTCGGCCATGGCGAAGCTCTACCCGATGCAGTTCCTGCCACCACGGCCCCCGCTGTCACCTCCCGGGTGACACAGGTGCCACCACCATCAACCCCCACCAACACCCCCCCACCACCACCTTCATCTCGGCCATGGCGAAGCTCTGCCCGATGCAGTTCCTGCCACCACCACGGCCCCCACTGTCACCTCCCGGGTGACACAGGTGCCACCACCATCACCCCCCACCACCACCATCACCCCCACCACCACCTTCATCTCGGCCATGGTGAAGCTCTGCCCGATGCAGTTCCTGCCACCACGGCCCCCGCTGTCACCTCCTGGGTGACACAGGTGCCACCACCACCACCACCACCCCCGCCACCACCTTCATCTCAGCCATGGCAAAGCTCTGCCCGATGCAGTTCCTGCCACCACGGCCCCCGCTGTCACCTCCCGGGTGACACAGGTGCCACCACCACCACCACCACCCTCCCCAGGGCTGTCCCAGCTGGATGTCACAGCTCGGGGACAACGAGCCCACTGTGAACCCAGCCAGGGTGGGGACGGCCACCACAGGGACCACCACAGGCCACCAGGGACAGTAAACAGGGACCACCTGGGCCACTAGGGATGGCCACTGGGGATCACTAAGGACAGCCACCATGGGCCACTGGCAAAGGCCGTCCCCCAGTCATGGTGAGCCTCAGTGAGGATGGGGGGTGGGACAAGGTCCCCTGCCCATGAGGACATGTGGGGCCAGGCTGGGGTGACAACCAGGGTTGACTCTGAAGGGGGGGCAGAGCTGGAATAAGAGGGGACTCGAGAGGGACAGAGTTGGGGTGGGGAGACTTGGGGGGGACCAACATTGGCGTGGTGGGAACCTTGATTGATGGATGCAAAGCCCAAGGGGGACCCCAGAAGGGACAGAGTTGGGGAGGGGTGACTTGAGGGGACAGCGTTGGAGTGGTGGGGACCTCAGTGGGGGCAAAGGCCAGGGAGGACCCCATAAGAGGGACAGAGCTGGGGTGGGGGGACTTGGCAGGACCAACATTGGGATGACGGGAACCTTGGTGGGAGCAAAGCCCAGGGGTGACCCAGGTTGGGGACCAACCAGGGCAGGGGGGACCCTGTTTGGGGACAGCCCAGAGGTAAGGGTTGCCTTGTGGGGGCACCTTGGGAAGGAGGAACAGGGACCCCACCCTGGTGTACCTGGGGCCGGCGGAGAAGGGGATGAAGGACCCCGGGGACCGTCCCTTGGTGTTCTCGGGGCTGAACCTCAGCGGGTTGTAGACCTGGAGTGACATGGACACTGTCACCGCCACGGGGACAGGGACACTGTCACGCCATGGGGACATGGCTGTCACTGCCATGGGGACTCAACTGTCCCCACCATGGGGACAGGGACATCGCCACACCACAGGGTCACAGCTGTTACTGCCATGGGGAAAGGGACACTGGCACACACACGGCTGTCACCGTCACGGGGACAGGGACACTGTCATGCCATGGGGACATGGCTGCCACTGCCATGGAGACACGACTGTCCCCACCATGGTGACAGGGACACCGCCATACCATGAGGACATGGCTGTCACTGCCATGGGGACATGGCTGTCACCAGCATGGGGACAGGGACATTGCCACACCATGGGGACATGGCTGTCACCAGTATGGGGACAGGGACACTGTCACGCCATGGGGACATGGCTGTCCCCTCCATGGGGACAGGGCTGTCACTACCATGGGGACATGGCTGTCACTGCCGTAGGCACATGGCTGTCCCCTCCATGGGGACATGGCTGTCCCCAGCCATGGGGACAGGGACATCGCCACACCATCGGAACATGGCTGTCCCCACCATGATAACAGGGACACCATCACGCCATGGGAGCATGGCTGTCCCCACCACGGTGACAGGGACACTGGCACACCATGGGGACATGGCTGTCCCCACCAAGATGACAGGGACACCATCACGCCATGGGAGCATGGCTGTCCCCACCACGACGACAGGGACACTGTCACACCATGGGGACATGGCTGTCCCCACCATGATGACAGGGACACTGTCACACCATGGGGACACAGCTGTCCCCACCACAGTGACAGGGACATTGTCACACCATGGGGACAAAGCTGTCCCCACCACAGTGACAGGGACATTGTCACACCATGGGGACACAACTGTCCCCACCACAGTGACAGGGACCTCCCACGCCCTCCTGGCCCTACCTCAGGGTCGGGCCAGAGCTCGGGGTTGTGGTGGGTCCCGTAGATGCTCATCAGGCACATGACCCCTGGTGGGACAGAAACGATGACCTCAGGGACAGGGGACGAGGGGGGGGGCCGGTGACACCGGGGACACCCCAGGGGGGTGGCCTCACCCTTGGGGATGACACGACCGTCACGCAGGGCCACGTCCTGGGTGCAGCGCCGGGACACGGCGGTGACGGGCGGGTGCAGCCGCAGGCTCTCCTTGATGCACATGGTGGTGAAGGGCAGGCGGGACAGGTCCTCCCTGGGGACAAAGCCATGGTGGCACCGTGTCCCCTGAGCATGGGGTGGCTAGGGACGTCCCTGAGGATCTCTCACCACTCGATGTCCTCGGTGTCCCGGCCTGCCAGGAGCTCCCGGACCTCCTGGCGACACCGCTCCTGGTACTCGGGGTGGCCGGCCAGGTTGTAGAAGAGCCAGGCCAGGCCGCTGGCCGTGGTGTCGTGGCCTGTGGGGACAGCGGGTGAGAGAGGGGACACCTGGGTGTCATCCCCCCCCCCAGCTGGCACCTGGGGACAAGGGTGGCGTCCTCACCCTCGAACATGAAGGTGTCGGCCTCGGCCGCGATGTCCTCGTCCGACAGGGTGTTGCCGTCCTCGTCCTGGGGGAAGGGGGAGTGTGAGCCACTGGGCTACCCAGGGCCACCAGTCTGTGGCCAGCCCTCCTCCGTGGCCACCAGTCTGTGGTCAAACCTCCTCCACGGCCACCACCATCCTCTTGGTCATCCCTATGCCCATGGCCACCACTGTGTCCCCCTTGACCACCACCATCCCCCCGTGGCCACCACCATCCCCATGGCCACCACTCTATGGCCAAACCTTCCCCTTGGCCACCACCCTTCCCCCAATGGCCACCACCACCCCCCATGGCCACCACCACCCCCCCATGACCACCACACCCACCCCCCGCCCCACCTTAGCAAGCAGCAGGAGGTCGATGAAGTCCAGGCTGCGACCCCGGTGGCCCTCCAGCAGGTCCTGGTGGCCCTCCAGTGGGTCCTGGTGGCCCTCCAGCGGGTCCTGGTGGCCCAGGCCGGCCAGGGCGCGGCGCCGGCGCTGCACCACGCGGGCGGTGAAGCCGTGGACGGTGGCGCAGGCGCGGGCGAAGCGGCGGCCGTCGGCGGAGAGGCGGTAGAGCCACGGCGGGTGGAGCAGAGGACGGAGCTGGCGCCGCACCACCAGCGAGCTCAGCTCCAGGATGGCCTGGATGTACTCGCTGGGCTTCCTGCGGGGCCAGCGGGCACCGTGGAGGGGCCACCACGGCCACCGGGATGGTCGGTGGGGGGGCTTTGGGGGCAGCCACCAGGATGGCCAATGGGGACTGTGGGGATGGCCACCAGGATGGCCAAGGGAGACCATGGTGGGGCCACCAGGATGGCCACGGGAGATCATGATGGGGCCACCAGGATGGCCAATGGGGACTGTGGTGGGGCTACCAAGATGGTCAACAGGGACCATGGTAGAGCCACCAGGATGGCCAGTGGGGACCATGGTGGGGCCACCAGGATGGCCAATGGGGACCGTGGTGGGGCCACCAGGATGGCCAATGGGGTCCATGGACTTGGCCACCAGGTTGGCCAATGGGATCCATGGACTTGGTCACCAGGATGGCCAATGGGGACCATGGTAGGACCATCAGGATGGCCAACGGGACCATGGTGGGGCAACCGTGGCCACCAGGATGGCCACCAGGGACCAGGATGGCCAAAGGGACCACGGCCAAACCACTGAGACCACCAAGATGAGCAAGAGGGTCCATGGCAGAGCCACCACCACCACCACCGGGATGGGCGAGGGGACCACGGTGGGACCACCAGGATGGGCAAGGGGACAATGGCAGGGCCACCACGACCGCGGGGACGGGCAAGGGGGGGTGGGACGGGTGACACTCACTCCTGGCAGTGGCTCTCGTGGCTGAAGATGCATTTCTGCAGCGTGTCCAGGGTGAGGAGGCTCAGGGGCTGCAGCACCTCCAGCCCCACCGGGCCCTCAGCGGTCGCCGCCCCCCACTTGGCCTGGGGGGGACACCAACAGGGTTAGGGGTGGGACAGGGTGGATTGGGGGTGGGACAGGGATGGGATCAGGGGCAGGACAGGATGGGATTTGGGGGTGTTGAGGGTGGGACAGGGATGGGATCAGGGGTAGGACAGGGATGGGATTTGGGGCTGTTGGGGTGGGATTGGGGTGGGACAGGGATAGGATTGGGGATGTTGGGGTGGGACAGGGGTGGGAGTGGGTGTGGACAGGGATGGGATCAGGGGCAGGACAGGGATAGGATTTGGGGGTGTTGGGGGCAGGACAGGGATGGGATTTGGGGGTGTTGGGGCGGGACAGGGATGGAATTTAAGGGTGTTAGGTGGGATTGGGGTGGAACAGGATTGGGGGTGTTGGGGTGGGACAGGGTGGATCGGGTGTTGGTGGTGGGACAGGGGTGGGATTGGGGGTAGGACAGGGATGGGATTTGGGGGTGTTGGGGCGGACAAGGATGGGATTTAGGCGGTGTTGGGGTGGGATTGGGGGCGGGACAGGGATAGGATTGGGGGTGTTGGGGTGGGACAGGGATGGGATTGGGGGTGGGACAGGGGCAGGATTGGGGGGCAGGACAGGGATGGGATCAGGGGTAGGACAGGGATGGGATTGGGGGGGTGTTGAGGGTGGGACAGGGACGGGGTCGGGGGTGTCTGGGACTGGGACACGAGGTGAGAATTGGGGTCAGGGTGTGCATTGGGGTGTGGACAGGCATTGGGCAGGGTTAAGGGGTAGTTTTGGGTCTGAGTGCAGGACAGGGGATGAGGATTGGGGTTAAGGGCAGGGGATGGGGTTGGGGAGAGCATCTGGGGGTGGGGATTGGGGTCTGGGTGCAGGACAGAGTTTGGGATGTGGGACGGGGTCTGGGGTGCAGGAACAGGTCTCAGGGTGCAGGACAGATCTTGGGGTTTGGGGTGCAGGACAAGGTTAAGGGTGTGGGACAGGGTTTGGGGTGCAGGAATGGGGTTTGGGGTGCAGGACAAGGTTTGGGGTTCAGGGCAGATCTGGGGATGCAGCACAGGGTTTGGGGGTGTAGGACAAGGTTTGGGGTGCAGGGCAGATTTGGGGGTGCAGGGCAGATCTGGAGTGCAGGGTAGATCTGGGGGTGCAGGGCAGATTTGGGGGTGCAGGACAGATTTGGCGTTCAGGATGAGGTTTGGGGTGCAGTGCAGATTTGGGATGCAGGGCAGATTTGGGGGTGCAGGATGAAGTTTGGGGTGCAGGGCAGATTTGGGGGTGTAGGACAAGGTTTGGGGTGCAGGGCAGATGTGGGGGTGCAGGACGAGGTTTGGGGTTCAGGGCAGATCTGGGGGTGCAGGACGAGGTTTGGGGTGCAGGGCAGATTTAGGGGTGCAGGGCAGATTTGGGGTGCAGGGCAGATTTGGGGTGCAGGGTAGATCTGGGGGTGCAGGATGAGGTTTGGGGTGCAGGATGAGGTTTGGGGTGCAGGGCAGATGTGGGGGTGCAGGGCAGATTTAGGGGTGCAGGGCAGATGTGGGGGTGCAGGATGAGGTTTGGGGTGCAGGGCAGATGTGGGGGTGCAGGATGAGGTTTGGGGTGCAGGGCAGATCTGGGGTGCAGGGCAGATTTGGGGGTGCAGGATGAGGTTTGGGGTACAGGGCAGATTTGGGGTGCATCTCGGGGCGCTCACGAGCAGGACGTGGGTGCTCTGGTTGAAGATTCCCGTGTACCCCCGGACCACGTCCCCGTGGAACGCCGGGTTCAGGAGGCGCCGGTGCCGCACCCACCTGTGCCCCCCGCTCAGCAGCAGCCCCTCACCTGGGGGGCACACCCCACTCTGTCCAGGGGGGCACCCAGGGGGGCTGCCCCCATCCCTGCTGCCCCCTCACCTGGGGGGGACACCCAGATCCATCCATGACCACCCAGGGGTGCTGTCCCTGTCCCTGTGAGACCCCCAGATCCATCTGGGACCACCCAGGAGGGCTGCCCCCTCCTCTGTGAGACCCCCAGATCCATCCACGACCACCCAGGAGGGCTGCCCCCTCCCCTGTGAGACTCCAGATCCATCCACGACCACCCAGGAGGGTGCCCCCTCCCCTGTGAGACCCCCAAATCCATCTGGGACCACCCAGGGGTGCTGTCCCTGTCCCTGTGAGACCCCCAGATCCATCCACGACCACCCAGGGGTGCTACCCCCTCCCCTGAGACACCCAGATCCATCCACGACCACCCAGGAGGGCTGCCCCCTCCTCTGTGAGACCCCCAGATCCATCCACGACCACCCAGGGGTGCTACCCCCTCCTCTATGAGACCCCCAGATCCATCTGGGACCACCCAGGGGAGCTGTCTCTGTCCCTATGAGACCCCTGACTCAATCCAGGGGGCACCCAGGGGTGCTGCCCCCCACCCTGTCCCCCCCCCCAGCACCCACTCACCCAGCCAGGGCTTGAGGAAGCCGTAGGAAAACTCGTCCTTGGGGGCAACGAAGGCTGTAGAGAGGGGGGTGGGGTGGGCAGGGGGCCACCAGGATGGGCTGGGGACCACCAGGGTGGGCAGGGGGCCACCAGGATGGGCTGGGAACCACCAGGATGGGCAGAGGGCCACCAGGGTGGGCAGGGGACCACCAGGATGGGCTGGGGACCACCAGGGTGGGCTGGGGGCCACCAGAGTCCCCTCAGGTGGGGACACTTGGGGTGGGGACCCTCTGTCTGCACCCACAGGTTGGTTGGGCTACAACCATGGGTTGGCCATGGGTGACACCTGTGGGTGGCCCTGGGGACCCCTCAAGGACGGGTTGGTGGCCACCTTGAGGTGGCATTTGGACATTCACTGGTCTGGCCATGGGTGACAGCTCCGAGGACCAGAGGGGTTGGGTTGGTGGCCACCACAGGGTGGGTGCCTGGGCACTGCCAGGTGACCGTGCCAGCCCCTGTGACACCTGTGGTGGCCCCGTGTCCTACCTGAGGCGCTGAGGAGGGGCCGGAGGGTGCTGGGGTGGAAGAGGCGCAGGACGGGCAGCCAGGGCAGCCCCCACCACAGGCAGCCCGGGCTGTACCGGGCCACCAGAGCATCCACGGCCTGCAGGTCCTGCTCTGTGCTCCCAGCCTGGGGACACCGGGGACACTGGTCATCCCAGCTCGGGGACACCCAGGGACACCTGTGATCCCAGCATGGGGACATCCAGGGACACCTGTGATCCCAGCATGGGGACACTGGGGACACAGGGGACACCAGTCATGCCAGCCTGGGGACACCCAGGGACACCAGTGGTCCCAACCTGGGGACACCGGGGAAACCGGTCATGCCAGCCTGGGGACACCCAGGGACACCAGTCATCCCAGTCTGGGGACACTGGGGACACCAGTCATCCCAGCTTGGGGACACCAGGGACACCGGGGACACCTACGATCCAAGCATGGGGACACCTGTGATCCCAACCTGGGGACACCAGGGGGCTATGTGTGACCTCGAGGGCACTGCCAGCCGTGGGACACACGTGTTCCCACCTTGGGGACAGCCGTGGGGACATGCGTGTCCTCATCGTGCCTTAGGGACACCCCTATCCCCACCACCCCGTCCCCTCTGTCCCCCGCAGGTGCCACCACCCTGTCCCTGCCCGTTCCCCAGACCTGTTCCCGCTGCCACCACCAGGTGCCACCACTGTCCCTGTCCACCGCCCAGACATCACCGCCTTGTCCCCAGCGTCCCCCCAAAGGTGCCACCGCCCTGTCCCCGCTGTCCCCCCCTCCCTGCCACCTCTCCTGGGTGCCACCCCGCTGTCCCCTCACCATGCCGGTGTGTCCCAGCAGCCAGTTGCGCCACGGGGGGAGGGGGAACCTGTTCAGCTGGCGACAAGTGGCCCGGAAGCGGGCGACAGCCACCACGGCGTCCCAAAGCCACCGCAGCAGCAGGGACAGCAGCAGGGTGCCCAGGGCCACCGCGCCCAGGGGACCGAGCGCCACGGTCACCGCCATGGCAGCACCGTTGGGGACAGGGCAAGGGTCGGGTCGTGGGCGGTGTCACCCGTGGGGTCACATGTCCCCGGAGTGGGTGGCACCCAGCGCGTCCTGGTGGCTTTGTCGCGATGTGTGTCCCGGTGGTGGCGTCCCCTGCTGTAGGTCCTGGTAGCGTTGTCCCCTGACGCGTGTCCCGGTGGCATCAGTCCCCTCCGTATGTGGTGGCATCGTCCCCTGACGAATGTCCTGGTGGCAGCGTCCCCTCGTGTGTCCTGATGGCACTGTCACCCCGAGCGTGGTGGCATCGTCCCCTGACGTGTGTCCTGGTGGGCATCATCGCTGCCACGCGTGTCCTGCTGGCATCGTCCTTCCACGCCTGTGCTGGTGCCATCGTCCCCTGGAGGCTTCGTCCCCTGACACGTGTCCTGGTGGCTTCATGCAGTGACATGCGTGCTCCTGCCACACGCGCTGCAGAATTGTCACCCCGGAAGCACCCCCGTCACACACTCACGTCCCCTGCCCCCTCCCGTGTCCCCCTGTCCCCCCCGTGTGTCCCCGACCCCCGTGTCCCCATGTCCCCCACCGTGTGCTGTCCCCGTGTGCCCTGACCCCTCCGTGTCCCCATGTCCCCCCACCGTGTGTCACTGTCCCCCCTGTGTCCCCGTCCCCCGCGTGTCCCTATGTCCCCTCCCGTGTGTCGCTGTCCCCCCCGTGTGTCGCTGTTCCCCCGTGTGTCATTGTCGCCCCCACCCCGGGTGTCGCTGTTTCCCCCCCGGTTGTGTCCCCGTTCCCCGCCTCCATGGGGACAAAGTCCCCGAGGTCGCGACACCGGGGCCGTGTCCCGCAGGATATTCCCCTGTCCCACAGGATATTCCCGTATCCCACAGGATATTCCCGTGTCCCGCAGGATATTTCCGTGTCCCGCAAGGTATTCCCGTGTCCCGTGGGATGTTCCCGTGGTTGCTCCTGGTGCTGAGCGTCTGCACCCGCCCCGGCACAGGTAGGAACACGCCACAACACACCACAACATGCCACAACACGCCACAACACGCCACAACACCCCACAGCACCCCACGGCACCCCACAACACCCCACAACACCCCACGGCACCCCGCAGGACCCACAGTACCCCATGACACGCCACAAGATGCCACAGCACCCCACGCCACACCTCAACACAACACCCCATGGCACCTCATGTCAGCTCGATTTTGAGTCCCTTCCCCCTGTTTTGGGTCTTTTCCCCCTGGTTTTTGGGTTCTTTCCCTCTGCTTCGGGTCTTTCCCCCTGTTTTCGGTGCATCCCCCCACTCCAACCCCTTCCCCTTCCCCTTCCCCAGGACACCCCCACCCCCTGACCCTCCCTCCCCTCCCTCGTTGTCCCCCACGTCTCCCCCCTTGGGTCTTTCCCCCAGATTTCGGATCCTTTCCCCCAGTTTTGGGTCGTCCCATCCTGGTTTGCATTCCTTTCATCCAGTTTTTGGATCCTTTCCCCCTGTCTTGGGTCCTTCTCCCCTGTTTTTGGTGCACCCTCTCATCCCAAACCTCCTCCCCTCCTGGGACACCCCCTGCTCCCTGACCCCCTCCCCTGCCCCGGTTGTCCCCCCAGGTCTCCCCTCGCCACACGGACTCTCTGATTCAGATCCTGGACGCTCTCGAATCCCCGGCCCGGGGGCTCCTGGGCACCTTCCCGGCCCTGGCGCGGTCCCTGGGGGTCTGCAGCAGCCCGGGGTGCCGCGCCGTGCTGGGTGAGCCCCCGAGCTCCCCTGACCCTCGCAGAGCTGCCCCCCGAGCAGTGGCAGCTCCTCCGGGAGCTCCTCCGGCCCGACCCCGCTGCCCCGGAGCGCGGGGCCGTGCTGGCCCCCGACGGCTCCACGGTGGCCCTCGGCCCCCTCCTCGCCGGCATCGAGGTGGGGCTCAGGCGAGGGGGCTCGGAGGGCTCTTGGGACCCCCTCCCCACCCCTCGGCCGCCCCTCGACCCGCTCTTCGCCGTCACCATCGCCGAGGTTTTGGGGACCTCCTTCCTCCTGGCACGGGACAGCGACGGACCCGCGCTGGGACCCGGTGGCTGCTGGGACGACGTGGACGACCCCCAAAACTACACCCTGACGGGCCCTCCGACCCCCGTGCCCGACGCCGTGGCCAACGGGGCGATGGACGGGGTGGTCCTGGGTGACCGCCTGGCCCAGGACCCCGTCCCGCTCGCCGAGCTCCTCCGGGGCTACTACGGGACGGGCAACGGCTCGGACACGGCGAGACCCCCCAGCAGCTACCGACGGCGGGATTTCGGGGCGCTGGCGGGGCCGGAGAGGCTGGAGGAGGAGCTGGTGGCCATGCTGGACGTACTGAGGGTCCTGCCCCCCACGCGGGGGCTGTTGGAGGGCGTGGGGCCCGAGGAGGTGGCGGCCGTGGCTCGACGAGCGGCGGGGGAGTTCACCCAGCGCTACGTGGGTACGGGGGAGGGGGCACTGGAATGTGGTGAGCTTTGGCCCACCCGAAAGTGGGTGGGAGGGTAGGGGAAGGTGCACCCCGGGTGGGGCTGGGGTCCCCCGGTGAGGGGGGCACTGAGGAGAGGCAAGAGTGGACAGCAGAGTGGGGACCTGGGGGGGGAGGGGGGCGAGAGCACCACGGCCCTGGTGGGCACCACCCTGTCCCCTGGGTGGGCACCAACATGTCCCCTGGGTGGGCACCACTGTGTCCCCTGGGTGGGCACCACCCTGTCCCCTGGGTGGGCACCAACATGTCCCCTGGGTGGCCATCACTGTGTCCCCTGGGTGGCCACCACTGTGTCCCCTGGGTGGAGACCACCCTGTCTCCTGGGTGACCACCACCATGTCCCCTGGGTGGGCACCACCACGGCCCACCCAAGGGACCCCCAGAGCAGACACTCCCCCTTCTGCCCACAGGAGGACACATCCGTGTCCATGCCAAGGGGTTCCTCAGCCGGGCAGATGCCCTGTGCCCTCCTGTCCCCAAGACCCCACTGCCGCGTCCCCCAGGGCCCAGCTGAGGGTCCCTGTGCCCCCCAGAGTGCCCGGCCATCGTGCCCCGCTGCATGTGGGGGGCCCGTCCGTACCGGGGCACCCCCAGCCTGCTGAGCCTCCCGCTGGGCTCCGTGTTCATCCACCACACCCTGGAGCCGGGCACCCCGTGCCGCTCCTTCCGCGCCTGTGCCCGCGCCATGCGCAGCATGCAGCGCTTCCACCAGGACACCCGCGGCTGGGATGACATCGGATACAGGTCCCTGCCACCCCCCCCGGGCCCCTGGAACCCACCCTGAGACCTGGGACCCACCCCGAGATCTGGGACCCACCCTGGGACCTGGGACCACCCCCCAGCCCCTGGAACCCCCTCCCTGGGACCTGGAACCACCCCGAGATCTGGGACCCACCCTGGGACCTGGGACCACCCCAGCCTCTGAACCCTCCTGGGACCTGGAACCACCCGAGATCTGGACCCACCCTGGGACCTGGGACCACCCCCCAGCCCCTGGAACCCCCTCCCTGGGACCTGGAACCACCCCCCCAAGATGTTTCCTGTGACCTGAACCCCCAGGACCTGGGACCTGTCACCCCACACAGTCCCCATCACTGCCCCTCCACTGACCACATCACTGTCCACCCTCAGTGCCCATCAGTGACCCCCTTAATCCCCATCACTCTCCCCCCACTGTCCCCATCACTGTCCCCCCTTGGTCCCCATCACCGTCCCCTGATCTCTCACTCCCCCTGCAGTCCCCATGCCTGTCCTCATCACTGTCCCTTCTTGGTCCCACCAGTGTCCCCCCTCAGTCCCAGCACTGTCCCCTCTTGGTCCCATCACTGTCCCCTCTTGGTCCCATCACTGTCCCCTCTCAGTCCCACCACTGTCCCTCCATTGTCCCATCCCTGTCCCCCTTCAATCCCCATAACTGTCCCTCCATGGTCCCATCACTGTCCCCCCATTGTCCCTACCACTGTTCCCCTTTGGTCCCACCACTGTCACCCCTCAGTTGCCATCACTGTCCCCCCACGCTCCCATCACTGTCCCCCCTTAATCCCCATCACTGTCCCACTCTTGTCCCCATTGCTGGCACCCCTCAATCCCCATCACTGTCCCTCCATTGTCCCCATCACTGTCCCCCCTTGGACCCCATCACTGTCCCCCTTTGGTCCCATCACTGTCCCCCTGTCCCCATCACTGGCACCCTCAATCCCACCACTGTCCCCTTGGTCCCATCACTGTCCCCCTTGTCCTCATCACTGTGCCCCTTTGGTCCCATCACTGTCCCCCCTCAATCCCCATCTCTGTCCCCCTCTTGTCCCCATTGCTGGTACCCCTCAATCCCCATCACTATCCCTCCATTGTCCCTATCACTGTCCTCCCATGGTCCCATCACTGTCCCCTTGTCCCCATCACTGTCCCCAATGGTCTCCCACTGTCCCCTCAGTCCCCACCACTGTCCCCCCTCAATCCCTGTCACTGTCCCCTCAGTCCCCACCACTGTCCCCCCTCGTGTCCCCGCAGCTTCGTGGTGGGCTCGGACGGGTACCTGTACCAGGGCCGGGGGTGGCACTGGGTGGGTGCCCACACCAAGGGCTACAACACCAAAGGTTTCGGGGTGGGCTACGTGGGGGACTTCTCAGCCACCCTGCCGGACCCCGACGCCCTGGCCCTGGTGCGGGACGAGCTCCTGCCCTGCGCCGTCCGCGCCGGCCACATCCTCCACAACTACACCCTGCGCGGGCACCGCCAGCTGGGCCGCACCGACTGCCCCGGGGATGCCCTCTTCCAGGAGATCCAGAGCTGGCCCGGCTTCCAGGTGACACCGGGGCGGGGGGTGTCACCCACGTTTGGGGTGGGGGTGATGGGGGTTGTGTGGGAGGGATGTTGGGGCGGTGCTGGGACTGACCGGGGTTCTTCTCCCCTGCCCAGTGAGGACCAGCCCCGTGGGCCCCGGGCCGGATGGTGAGGTCGGAGCGTGGGCTGGATGGATGCTGGGCCAGTGGGGGATGGGCTGGACGGACCCTGGTCCAGCAGATGTCAGTCCCATGGATGCTGGACAGACCCTGGTCCAGCAGATGTCAGTCCCATGGATGCTGGATGGACCCTGGTCCAGCAGACGTCAGTCCCATGGATGCTGGATGGACCCTGGTCCAGATGGACACCAGACCCATGGATCCCAGATGGATCCTGATCCAGATGGACACGTGCCATGGATGCCGATCTGGATGGACTGGTCCCGATGGACACACCAATCCCACAGATCCCAAAAGAACCCTGATCCAGATGGACTCTGACCCAGAAGTGGCCAGAAGGCAGCCCAGTTGGATGCTGGTCCAGATGGACTCCATCCCCATGGGAACCAACCTGGATGGAGCCTGGTCCAGATTGACCCCGGTCCAGACAGACCCTCACCCAGTCCATCCAGTCACAGCTCAGCCCTGATCCAGGTGGATACCAGCCCCACGGATCCTGATCCAGGTGGGCACCAGCCCAACAGATCCTGATCCAGGTGGACACCAGCCCCATGGATCCTGATCCAGGTGGGCACCAGCCCCATGGATCCTGATCCAGGTGGGCACCAGCCCCATGGATCCCAGCTCAGATGGACACTGGTCTGGGTGGACACTGACCCTGGGTGGACTCCAGCCCAAAGGATGTCAGATGAACCCTGGCCCAGCAGAACTCCAGCCTGGACAGATCCCAACTTAGGTGGCCACCAGCCTGGAGGGACCCTGGCCCAGCCCCACCAGCCCAGCCGTCCATCCCTGTAGCCTCAAACTCCCGAAATAAATCATTGCCAGGACGTGGCTCTGGGTGGTCCCTGGAGGGCTCGGGGGAACCGAGGCTCAGGGACGGGGGTGATGGGAGGGGACTTCTCTGTCACCTCCAGCCTCTGCTCACTCTGCAACCTCCTGACGGTCATCGGGGCACGCTGAGCCCCCCTGGGCTGTCCCGTGGTGGCCCCCCCGGTCCCCGCCGCGCCCCGGGCCGTGTCCCCCACGCGATGCGGGAGCTCGGATGAGCCGAGCGGGGCAGAGGCGGAGGTGAGGGTGTGACTGAAACTCCTGCCCGGTCACATGGGGAAGCCACGACAGGAACCGGGGCCGAGCGCGGGTGTCGGAGCGGGCGGAGAACAGCCGAGGTACCTCGGGGGGACACGGCGGGGGGCGCTCGGAGGGGACCCCCCCGGGATGCTCCAGCCGTGGGGATGCGCGGGGAATGCGGGGCGAGGGGGTGGCACAGCATCCCGCGGGGCGCCGGGCGCTGCGGGGGAGGGCGGGGGTGCTGCGGGGTGCTGGGGGGCGCTGCGAGGTGGGGTGGGGACCCCAAAAATGCCTGCGCGCCCCCTGCCCTCCGCGGGTTTGGCCCCTCGGCACAGCCCGGCTCGGGGATGCTGCTGCCCCCAGTTTGGCGGGTGCCAAAGCCGCAGGTGCCCGCCGGTCGCTGCCACCCCCAGGGGTGTCGCGGCGAGGGGGGTGTCACCAACCCTGTGTCCCCCCACCCCGAGCAGCCCCTCTGTGAGCACCCCGGGGTGCGGGGCTGGGGGACGGGACCCCGGGACGGGGCGCGGGTTCAGGTGCGGGAGGAAACGCGGTGGCGGCGCGAAGGGAAGCGCGGCCGGGGCGCGACGGAAACATCTCCGGTACCACCTGCGCCCCGGGGCACGGGGGTGGCGGGGCAGAGGCCCGGCTGTCACCCGGGCCACGCTATCACCGCGCCCCGCCGTGGGGAGGAGGATGGATGGCGTGAGAGCCCGCTGGGTGGGGACCCCTCGGTGGGCAGGGGCACCCTGGGGACACGGGAACCCCCAAAATGGGGGATCCCTGGGTGGGTAGAAGCATCTTGGGGATGTGGGAACACACAAAACAGGGACTCCTCACGGGTCGGGGCACTCTGGGAACGTGGGCACCCACTGGGTGCCCCAATATGGGTGGCGAGAAAGGATGGGGGTGGCCTTGGATGGGGGTGCCTGGATTAGGGTCCCCTAAACAGGGGTGCCCGAGTGGGGATGCACAAGATTGGGGTGCCTGGATAGGGGACCACCCATCCCACCACCTCACCTCCTCGCCAGCCCGTGGACCCCCAACGTGACTCTTCCCATCTCATGAAACCCCACAATTCATGGACCCCAACCTCACCCATCCCACCTCACCCTCCCACAGCCCCTGGCCCCCAATGTGACTCTCCCATCCCACCCCCACCAGTCCATGGACCCCCAACCTCACCCCATCCACCCTCACCCTCCCCACACCACCCCATGGCCCCCAACGTGACTCTCCCCATCCCACCCCTCACCACCAGTTCATGGACCCCTGAACTCTCTCCCCATCCCACCCCTCACCCTCCCCACACCGCCCCATGGCCCCCAACGTGACTCTCCCCATCCCGCCCCCTCCCATCATCCCACGGACCCTCCACCAACACACCCCTTCCCCACAGATGGAGGTGGAGCCCCCGGTGGCCCCAGAGCCCCCACCCTGCTGAAGGCCTACAAGTGGCGCACGAGCACCCCGGGGGGGGGCGAGCGGGACCCCGAGAGGGCCGGGGGGTCCCCCGGGAGCCGCCGCTGGGCTCGACTGCAGGGCTGGAAACGCTCCTACAGCCACCCCGAGAGCGACGGCCCCCCGGACAGGGGGTCCCAGAGAGGGTCCCCAAGGCCAGCAGCCGCCGGTCCCTGTTCCAGAGAGCCTTCTCGGCACCCTCCAAGGGACCCAAGGAGCCCCGCGGGGCCGAGGGGGGCGGCCGGGCCCCCCTGCACAAGTACCTGCGCTCCGTGGGCAGGAGGAGGGGCCACGGGGACAGGGCGGAGCAGGGGGGACACGATGGGACAGGTACGGGGGGAGGGGAGGCGGGAAGGGAGGGGAGGGGGTTGAGGGGTTGATGGGTGGGTGTGATGAGTGGGGGTGATGGAGGGTGATGAGTTGGGGGATGGTGATGGGATGAGTGGGGTGATGAGTGGTGATGGGTGGGGGTGACAGTGATGGGTGGGGGTGACAGTGATGGGCGGGGGTGACAGTGATGGGTGGGGTGACGACAGTGATGGACGGGGGGTGACAGTGATGGGCGGTGGGGTGATGGTGACCACTGTGCTCTGGGAAGCGCTGGGTGCTGGGTGGGTGACAGGACGTGGCCAGACTTTGCTGCTCCCTTTGGGGAGCTCCTGCCTGTGGGTGCCCTCCGGGGTTGGGGGAGCACCCCTGGGTGCAGGATGGGTCCCACCTGGCACCAGGTGCTGCTCCCCGTGGCCCTGGTCCCCCGTGTGTGCCCGGCACGGGGCTCAGGGGTGACTCCTGGAGCTGTGCCAGCCCCGGTGGCGCCAGGATCCGGCCAAACCGGCACAGCCACCCACGGACAGGGCAGGGCCACCCACGGACGGGGCAGGGCCACCCACACAGGGGGCAGGGCCAGGGCAGGGCAGCCACACGGGGCTGTCCCCAAGAGTGGTCTGGCACGGCCACGCTGAGGGTGGCACAGCCAAGTGTCCCCCAGCACTGGCACCTTGATTGTGGCACTTCCATGGCTGCTTGTCCCCTGGTGTGACCACATCCCTGGTGGCATCTCAGTGGCCACGTGTCCCCTGGTGTGACCACATCCCGTGGTGGCATCTCCGTGGCCACATGTCCATCAGGATTGTGTCACCCACAGTGGCACCTCCAGGGCCACATGTCCCCCAGCATTGCCACCCCAGATGGGGCACAGCCGTGACCAAGTGTCCCCTGGCACTGCCACATTCATGGTGGCACCTCCATGGCCACGTGTCCCTTGGTGTCACCACAGCCATTGTGGCACGTTCACAGCCACGTGTCCCCCGCCACTGCCAGGCTGCCCGTGGGTGACAGGGACACGGTGGGCACCTGGAGCCCCCCTGACACCACACTGTGCCCCCCCAGTGAGCACTCAGAGGACGCCCCCGATCCCGCTGGCGCCAGTGCCCGACGTCCCGGTGTGGGACGTGTCCCAGTTCTGCCTGGTGGACGGACACCTGGTCCTGGTGGGCAGGGACGAGGAGGTGAGGCCAGGGGGGCAGGAGTGCCCTGGGCACCCATGGGTGACAGGGTGGCCAGCTGGGTGCCAGGGGGGCGGTGCCTGACCCCCCTCCCCGTGCCCCCCAGGCTTCCCACCGGAGCAGGAACCGCGCCGGGAGCTCCAACTCCGAGGGCACCAACGTGGGCAGGAGGGACCCTGGTGAGCACACGCCGATGCCACGGGATGGGGGGGGTTGGCATGTGCCACGTGAGCCACACGTGTGTGCACGGAGCCCCCTGGGACAGGGGCTGGGACGGGCACTGTGGTGGGAACCACGAGGTCGTGACTTGAGCACCGTGCTGTGCCCCGTGCCCTGTGCCCCGTGCCCTGTGGCCTGTGCCCTGTGCCGTGTCCCATGCCATCCCCTGTGCCATTTCCCACACCAAGCCCTGTACCGTGTCCCATGCCATGCCCTGTGCCATTTCCCACACCAAGCTCTGTGCGATTCCCCATGCCATGCTCTGTGCTGTGCCCCACACCAAACCCTGTGCCATGTCCCATGCCATGCCATTCCCCACGCCATGCTCTGTGCCATTCCCCACACCAAGCCCTGTGCCATTCCCCATGCCAAGCTCTGTGCCACTTCCCACACCAAACCCTGTGCCATGTCCCATGCCATGCTCTGTGCCATGTCCCATGCCACGCTCTGTGCTGTGCCCTACATCAAGCCCTGTGCCATGTCCCACACCAAGCCTTGTGCCATGTCCTGTGCCATGTCCCATGCCATGCTCCGTGCCGTGCCCCACACCCTGCAGCAGCGCACGCCAAGCCCCGAGCCGCACTTCACGCCGTGCCCCGTGCCCCACACTGAGCTGTGTCACTGTCACCGTCCCTGTCCCCGTCACTGTCCCCGTCCCGTCCCCACTTCCTTCCCGCTGCTGCGTCTGCTGATCCCACGATAAAGCACCGGAGATAAAACCCCCTCCGGCTTCCTCTGGCACCGACACGGGCTCATGGGGCCCTGGCACCGCCTGCCCTGCTCCGCGCCGGGACCCCCGGCACGCTCCTGGCACGCTGCTGGCACGGGGCTGGCACACGCCTGGCGCACACCGGGCACGGGAGTGGGTGCCTGGCATCATGGCACTGACACTGGGACACTGGGACTGGGACACTGGGACTGGGACACTGGGACACTGGGACACGGGCATGGCCACCAGCACCAGGGCACCGGGGGTGGGCACTGGGGCTGGACCCTCGCATTGGGCACTGGGGGTGGGCACCAGCACCGGGTATTGACCCGAGCAGCAGGATAAATCCCTCTGCCCCTCCTCCCTCCTCCCCCCACCATTCACCCACCTTCCCACCCAAACTTGGCTGCACCCAACACCTGCAGGATTTGGGTGACGTTTCCCGGGGGTCGGGGTGGGTGTCCTGCCCCTCCAGCCCCTGGCACGGTGTTGGGGTGCCCGGGGTGCTGGGGAGGGGGTGCTGACCCCACTGCCCACCCCCAGACCCGGCTGCAGATGAGAGGAATGCCCGGGGGGCCGCGAGGAGCCCCGAGAGCGAGACCCCCCCCACCTCCCAGCTCAGCAATGTCAAGGTGGGCACACCCACCCTGTCCCCACCCCCCCGGGGGTGCTGCCCCTCCCCGGGGGTGACACGGGGCTGTCGCTGTCCCCTCGCGCCATGCAGGGGCTCTTGTGGAAGAGGCTCCGGGACAGGAAGAGTCGCGGTGGCACCAAAGCTGAGACCCCGGCGGTGACGGGCCCCGAGGCCGAGAGGTGCGGGACGGCCGGGGAGGGGGTGGGAGTGCTGGGGGTCCCCAATTCAGGCATTTTTGGATGGGTGGGTGCTGGGGGGGGTCCTGGTGACACTCCTGTCCCCAGGGTCCCCATTTGATGTGATTTGGGTGGGTGGGTGCTGGGGTGCTCTCCCAGTGACACTCCTGTCCCCAGGGTCCCCATTTGATGTGGTTTGGGTGGGTGCTGGGTGGTCCCAGTGACACTCCTGTCCCCAGGGTCCCCATTTGATGTGATTTGGGTGGGTGGGTGCTGAGGGGGCTCTCCCAGTGACACTCCTGTCCCCAGGGTCCCCAATTGATGTGATTTGGGTGGGTGGGTGCTGAGGGGCTCTCCCAGTGACACTCCTGTCCCCAGGGTCCCCATTTGATGTGGTTTGGGTGGGTGGGTGCTGAGGGGCTCTCCCAGTGACACTCCTGTCCCCAGGGTCCCCATTTGATGTGGTTTGGGTGGGTGGGTGCTGAGGGGGACTCTCCAGTGACACTCCTGTCCCCAGGGTCCCCATTTGATGTGGTTTGGGTGGGTGGGTGCTGGGTGGTCCCAGTGACACTCCTGTCCCCAGGGTCCCCATTTGATGTGGTTTGGGTGGGTGGGTGCTGAGGGCTCCCAGTGACACTCCTGTCCCCAGGGTCCCCAATTGATGTGATTTGGGTGGGTGGGTGCTGAGGGGGCTCTCCCAGTGACACTCCTGTCCCCAGGGTCCCCATTTGATGTGATTTGGGTGGTCTCAGTGACACTCCTGTCCCCAGGGTCCCCAGCCGGAGCGGCTCCCGGGAGTCGCTGCTGCCCCCGGCCGAGCTGGACCTGAGCGGGGACGCCGTCATCGTGCGGCCCGTGCACGGCAGCATCGTGGGCGAGAGGTTCTGCTTCCAGGTAAAGGGTTGGGAGGCTCAGAGAGCCCCACAGAGGCACCCAGGGCACCCTGGGGGGCACCCCAGACAAGCTGGAGGGGAACTCAGGACACCCTTTTCACCTTGGAGGGGCACTCAGGGCACCCGAGGGGGCACCCAAGGCAACCTGAGGGGGAGCCCAGGTCACCAATTCCACCTTGGAGAGGCATCCTGAGAATCCAGGGAGCCCCAGGCAGACTGAAGCATGGGCACCCGAGGCAGCACTAGGGCACTCAGGGCTACCCTGGAAGGGACACCCAGGCCAGCTCAGAGTACCTGGAGAAGGCACCCAGGGCACTCGACAGGCACCGCTCAAAGCGGACAGCCAGGGCACCCTAAAGGAGCACCCAGGAACACCCAGACCCTTTAAAGGGGCACCCAGAGCACCCTGAGAGGTACCCACAGCACACCAGAGGACCCTAAAGGAGCACCCAGGGCACCCCAGAGGCACCCAGGCACACCATGTACAGGCACCAGGCAGCCCAAAAGGACAGCCCAGCACAGCCCTCGGCCGTGGGCACCCCGAGTCCCCAGCACAGCCCCCGTGGGGCAGCCTGGGGTGCCCCCACAGCCCCCCGTGCCCGCAGGTGATCACGGGCGAGGGCAGCCGGTCCTTCGGCTGCGCCTCCCTGGCCGAGCGCGACCGCTGGATCGAGAACCTGCGGCGGACCGTGCAGCCCAACAAGGTGGGACCGCGGGGACACCGTGGGGACACCGTGGGGACACTGCGGGGACACAGCAGGGACACCAAAGGGACACCAAAGGGACACCCTGTCCCTCCATGTGCCCTCCTGCCCTGCACTTCTTCTCCTGTCCCCATGGCCCTTCATGCCCTTCCATGTCCCTTCATGTCCCTTCGCATCCCTTCATGTCTCCTCATGTCCCTCCATGTCCCCTCTGTCCCTCCATGTCCCCTCCTGTCTGTCTCCATCCCCTCCATCCCCACACGTCCCCATGTCCCCTACTGTCCCCACATATCCCATTCCCAAATCCACATGGTCCCCTCCGTGTCCCCTCCATCCCCACACATGTCCCCATGTCCCTGCTGTCCCCACATATCCCATCCCCACATCCACATGTCCCTTCCATGTCCCCTCCATCCCCACACATGTCCCCTGACGTCCCCATATACCCCATCCCCATGCCCACACGGTCCCTCCATGTCCCGTCTGTCCCCCCCTGCCCCCTCCCTGTTCCTCCCTGTCCCCTCCCTGTCCCCTCCATCCCTACACATCCCCATGTCCCTGCTGTCCCCACATACCCCATCCCCACATCCACACAGTCCCTCCATGTCCCGTCCTGTCCCTCCATGTTCTCTCTGTCCCTCCATGTCCCCTTCCTGTCCCCTCCATCCCCACATATGTCCCCTGCTGTCCCCACATACCCCATCCCCACATCCACACAGTCCCTCCATGTCCCGTCCTGTCTGTCCCTCCATGTCCCCTCCATGTCCTCTCTGTCCCTCCATGTCCCCTCTGTCCCTCCATGTCCCCTCCCCATCCCCTCCACCCCATACACGTGCCCTCCACCCCACACATCCCTCCACCCACATGTCCCTCCACCCCACACGTCCCTCCACCCCACATCTCCCTCCACCACATCTCCCCTCACCCACATCTCCTCCACCCCACCCGTCCCTCCACCCACACGTCCCCTCCACCCCACACACGTCCCTCCACCCCACACGTCCCTCCATCCCCACACCCCCCGTCCCCCCCCAGGACAACTGCGAGCGGCTGGAGCTGGCGCTGAGCCTGTGGGTGTACGAGGGCCGGGACCTTCCCCCGCGGCGCCGCCTGCGGTGCCACCTGCAGCTGGACGGGGCGCTCCTGGCGCGCACCACGGCCAAGGCGGCGGGCGCCGACGGCGAGCTCTTCTGGGGGGAGCTGTTCCAGCTGGCCGCGCTGCCGCCCGCCCGTGCCCTCACCCTGGCGCTGTGCCGCGACGACCAGCCCGGCGCGCCGCCGCTGGCCGCGGTGACCGTGCCGCTGGCCGAGCTGGCGCGGCAGCCGCTGGAGCGCTGGTACAGCCTGAGCGGCCCCGGCGCGGGCGGCGAGCGGGCGCCGGCGCTGCGGGTGCGCGGGCGGTACCGCGAGGTGCGGGTGCTGCCCATCGTGCGCTACAAGGAGCTGGCCGAGTTCATCACCTTCCACTACCGCGAGCTGTGCGCCCGCCTGGAGCCCGCCATCGCCCTGCGCCACAAGGAGGAGCTGGCAGGGGCCCTGGTGCGCGTCCTGCAGAGCACCGGCAAGGCCAAGGTGGGTACGGAGGAGGGAGGGAGGAGCGGAGGGGGGTGTGGTGAGTGGGGGCGGGAGAGGCATCTCGAGGGCGGGGGTGCCGGGGTAGATGGGGTGGGATGGGAGTGAGTTGGGATTGGTGGCATGGGGTGGGGTGAGACGGGATGGATGGGGTGAGTTGGGTTGGGTTGGAATGGGATGGATAAATTGGATTGGGATGGGATGGACGGGTTGTGTTGGGATGGTTTGGAGTGGGATGGATGGGTTGGGTTGTGTTAGGTTGGTTTGGAATGGGATGGATGGGATGGGATGGGATGGGATGGGATGGATGGCATGAATGAGTTGGATTGGGTTGGGGCGGAGTGGGATGGAATGGATAGGTTGGGTTGGGATCATTTGGAATGGGATGAAATGGGATGGGATGGGATGGGATGGGATGAATGGGTTGGGTTGAGCTGGGTTGGAATGGGATGGATAAATTTGGTTTTGGGATGGGATGGGGTGGGATGGATGGGTTGTGTTAGGTTGGTTTGGAATGGGATGGATGGGATGGGATTGGGATGGGATGGGGTGGGATGGGATGGGACGGGATGGAGGAGTTGGGTAGGGATGGGATAGATGGATTGGGTTGAGTTGTGCTGGAACGGAACAGAGTGGGATGGGCAGGGTTGGGATGGGATGGAACAGGATGGGATGGATGAGTTTGGATGGAATTGGAGGGATAGAAAACAAAACTCAGGGGAGTGCCAGGAGATCCTAGAGGAGGTTGGCCGAGCCATTTTGGGGCCATGGGTGCCACCAAGCCCTCGATCACGTCCCCTGGCAGTCGTTCCTCATCGACCTTGGCGTGGCTGAGCTGGACCGTTTCGATGAGCGCGAGGCCCTGATCTTCCGTGAGAACACCTTGGCCACCAAGGCCATCGACGAGTACATGAAACTGGTGGGGGGCAAGTACCTCCAGGACACGCTGGGTAAGCCGGGGGCAGGTCTTGGGGGACATCCCGGGGTGTGAGGGGGTGCAGGACACCCCAGGAGGGACATTATGGGTGCTATGGGGTGTTACGGGGCTTTGGGGCTGAAGGACACCCCCGGACCACGCCTGGGGACGTGGTGGGGGCTTCTCCTGGTCACCCCTGGGGACGTGGTGGGGGCTTCTCCTGGTCACCTCTGGGGATGTGGTGGGGGCTTCTTCTGGTCACCCCTGTGCCTGTGGCCCATCGATCCCATCACGGGTTGTGGGGACACCTCCAGACCACCCCTGGGGATGTGGTGGGGACATGTCCCAGCCAACCCCGTGCTGGTGGCTGTGAGACACCCCCAGACCATCCATGGGGATGTGGGGAGGGCTTGTCCTGGTCATCCCTGTGCCAGTGGCCAGTTCGTCCCATCACAGGCTGTGGGACACCTCCAGCCCCTCCATGGGGATGTGTCCCAGCCACCCTCGTGCCAGTGGCCGGTCTGTCCCCTCAAGGACAGTGGGACACCCCCAGCCCCTCCATGGGGACACGTCCCACCCACCCCCGTGCCAGTGGCCAGACTGTCCCCTCATGGACAGTGGGACACCTCCAGCCCCTCCATGGGGACGTGTCCCACCCACCCCCCTACCAGTGGCCGGTCTGTCCGTCCCCTGAGAGGCTGTCCCCTCATGGACAGTGGGACACCCCCAGCCCCTCCATGGGGACTCGTCCCACCCATCCCCGTGTTGGTGGCCAGTCTGTCCCCTCATGGACAGTGGGACACCCCCAGACCATCCATGGGGACGTGTCCCACCCACCCCCCTACCAGTGGCCTGTCTGTCTGTCCCCTGACAGGCTGTCCCCTCAAGGACAGTGGGACACCCCCAGCCCCTCCATGGGGACTCGTCCCACCCATCCCCGTGTTGGTGGCCAGTCTGTCCCCTCATGGACAGTGGGGACACCCCAGACCATCCATGGGGACGTGTCCCACCCACCCCCTACCAGTGGCCTGTCTGTCTGTCCCTGACAGGCTGTCCCTCAAGGACAGTGGGACACCTCCAGCCCCTCCATGGGGACTCGTCCCACCCACCCCGTGCTGGTGGTCAGTCTGTCCCCTCATGGACAGTGGGACACCCCCAGCCCCTCCATGGGGACTCGTCCCACCCACCCCCGTGCCAGTGGTCGGTCTGTCCATCCCCTGATGGGCTGTCCCCTCAAAGACAGTGGGACACCCCCAGCCCCTCCATGGGGACACGTCCCACCCACCCCCGTGCTGGTGGCCAGTCTGTCCCCTCAAGGACAGTGGGACACCCCCAGCCCCTCCATGGGGACACGTCCCACCCACCCCTGTACCAGTGGCCGGTCTGTCCGTCCCCTGACGGGCTGTCCCACGGTGCCCAGGGGAGGTGGTGGCCCGGCTGTGCAGCTCAGATGAGAGCTGCGAGGTGGATCCCAGCAAATGCTTCGGCCCCGACCTCTCCATCCACCAGAAGAACCTGCGGCAGGTCTGCGAGGAGACCTTCCAGCGCATCGCCCACAACTGCGAGTGAGGGGCAGCGCCCACGCAGGGGGTGGGCAGGGGGGCAACACGGCCAGGAGAACTCGGGGAAAAGGCTTGGAGATGGGTGATGGGGCTGGGGGTGGGAATGGGAACGGGCAGGAGGACAGGGGTGGGCACAGGGGTGGGCACAGGGGGTGGGTTTGGGGACTGGCACCGCCCTGGGATGGACATGGGGGTGGGCACTGGGACGGGCCTGGGGAGAGGTTTGGGGACAGGGGTGGGGATGGGCAACAGGAAGGACCTGAGGGCAACCCTGGGGGGACAGACACAGGGGACAGGGATGGGGTGGGCATCACCCGTGGGCTGGACATGGAGATGGGCACAGGAAGGACCTGGGGACAGGTTTGGAATTGACACAGGGGACAGGGATGGGGTGGGCATCACCCGTGGGCTGGACATGGAGATGGGCACAGGAAGGACCTGGGGACAGGTTTGGGGACTGACACAGAGGACAGGGATGGGGATGGGCATCACCCATGGGTTGGACATGGGGATGGGCACAGGAAGGACCTGGGGACAGGTTTGGGGACTGACACAGAGAACAGGGATGGGGATGGGCACCATTCACAGGTTGGACATGGCAGTGGACACAGGAAGGACCTGGGGACAACCTTGGGGACAGACACAGGGGAGAGACATGGGAATGGGCACCATCTGTAGGCTGGGCTGGGGGATAGGCACAGGAAGGACCTGGGGACAACCTTGGGGACAGCCATGAGGGACAGGGATGGGGATGGGATTGGGATCTGGCACCATCCCTTGGTGGACATGAGTTGGGCACAGGAAGGACCTGGGGACAAGCACCTGGGACCGACACAGGGACAAGCACAGGCGTGGTGGGCACTGTGATGGCACAGGGGGTGTGAGTGGGGGTTTCCAAGCCCACCCCCCGTCCCCAGCCCCCATCAGGGCGTGTCTCCCCCAGCGCCTTCCCGGCGGAGCTGGGCGAGGTGTTTGCAGCGTGGCAGGAGGAGTGCGCGGCGCGGGGCAAGGCGGCCCTGGGGCAGCGCCTGGTGTCGGCCTCGCTCTTCCTGCGGTTCCTCTGCCCCGCCATCATGTCCCCGAGCCTCTTCGGCCTCGTCCAGGAGTACCCCGGCGAGGCCACCGCCCGCACCCTCACCCTCGTGGCCAAGGTCATCCAGAACTTGGCCAACTTCACCACGTAGGTGGCGGTGGCGGGGAGGGGGTGGCCGTGGGTGGGCGTGCGGGGCAGTGGGGACATCCCCGACGTGCTCCGTGGCACGTGTCACCTCCTGGAGGTGGCTTGCTGCGTGATGAGGGTGGTGTCCCATGCCCAGGGTGGTGGCTGTGACCATGAAGGTGGCCCCTGACCATGGTGGTGGCCCATGTGACCACAGAGGTCGCCCCTAACCATGGCAGTGTCCCTGGTCCCTGTTCCTGAAAGTGGTCTGTGGCCATGCCCGTGGCGGTGGCCCCTGTGACCGCGGTGGTGCCCCCTGTGACCATGGTGGTGCCCCTGTGACCGCGGTGGTGGCCCCTGTGACCATGGTGGTGGCCCCTGTGACCGTGGTGGTGCCCCTGTGACCGCAGTGGTGGCCCCTGTGACCGTGGTGGTGGCCCCTGTGACCGTGGTGGTGCCCCTGTGACCGCAGTGGTGGCCCCTGTGACCGTGGTGGTGCCCCTGTGACCGCGGTGGTGGCCCCTGTGACCGCGGTGGTGCCCCCTGTGACCATGGTGGTGCCCCTGTGACTGCGGTGGTGGCCCCTGTGACCGCGGCGGTGGCCCCTGTGACCGTGGTGGTGCCCCTGTGACCGCGGTGGTGCCCCCTGTGACTGCGGTGGTGCCCCCTGTGACTGCGGTGGTGGCCCCTGTGACCGCGGCGGTGGCCCCTGTGACCGCGGTGGTGGCCCAGGCCACGCCCCGGCCCCCGGGTAACCCCGAGGCGGCCCCCAGGTTTGGTGAGAAGGAAGCCTACATGGGCTTCATGAACGAGTTCCTGGAGTGCCACTGGAGCCCCATGGCAGAGTTCCTGCAGAGCGTGGCCAGCCCCGAGAGCAGCGCCCACATGGCCACCTACGACGGCTACGTGGACCTGGCCCTGGAGCTGGCCACGCTCCACCTGCTGCTCTGCGACATCTTCTCCAGCCTGGACCAGGTGCCACCACCCTGTTGTCCCCAAGGCTGCATCCTTCTCTCCCTTCCCTTCCCTTCCCTTCCCTTCCCTTCCCTTCCCTTCCCTTCCCTTCCCTTCCCTTCCCTTCCCTTCCTTCCCTTCCCTTCCCTTCCCTTCCCTTCCCTTCCCTTCCTTCCTTCCCTTCCTTCCCTTCCCTTCCCTTCCCTTCCCTTTTCCCCCCAGAGCTGGTGTTGGCTGCCCCGTGGGTGGCACCTTTCCCCCTGTCCCCAGAATGTCCCGGCCGTGTCCCCGCAGGCCACGCAGGAGGAGCTGGAACCGCTGCCCACCATCCTCACGGCCATCAGGGAGGGCACCCCCGTGCCCGTGTCCGTCCGGCTCAGCTCCACCGCCAAGAGGAGGTACGGGGGGACACGGGAGCTGAGGGGGACACAGGGGACCAAGGGGGACATGGGGGGCTGAGGGGGACACGGGGGGCTGAGGAGGGGACAGGGGATCAAGGGGGACATGGGGGACCAAGTGGGACGCAGGGGGCTGAGTTGGACATGTGTCCCAAGGGGGACACGGGAGGAGCTTTGGTGGAGTTTGGGGTCCTGCCTGGGGCCAGGGGACGGTTCTGGTCTTGCATGGGTCTGGGGGGACTCTGGTTCAGATTGGAGTTGGAGTCACTGGTCCCAGTTGGGTTCAGGGGATGGTTCTCATCCCTGGTGGGTCCAGCAGGTGGTTGAGGTGCAGGTAGGGGATGGTTCTGGTCCCAGTTTAAGGGGTGGTTCTGATCTGGACTGGATTTGGTGGATATTTTGGCCCAGTTTATGTCCAGGAGATGTTTTTGGTGCCAGATGGATTTAGGGGGTGTTTCTAGTCCTGGCTGGGTTTGAGGATGGTTCTGGGTTCTGGCTCTTGTTGGGTTTGGGAGATGGGTCTGATCCCAATGGAGTTTGGGTATCTCTGGTGCAGGCAGGGATTGGGAGATGGGTCTGATCTTAACAGGACTTGGGGTCAGGGTTTGGAGTCCCTCTGGTTCAGACTGGGGTCGGGATATGGATCTTGATCCCAACAAGGTTTGTGGTGCCTTTGGTCCCATACGGGGTCAGGAGATGGGTCTGTTCCCAGATGGGTTTGGAATGTCTTTGGTCCAGGCTGTGACTGGGTGATGGGTCTGATCCCAAGATGGTTTGGGGTCCCTCTGGGCTGGGTAGGTGGTGGTCCCGCTCCCTCCTGGGTCCATCCCTGCATCCCCCACACCCTGTGCCCTCTGTCCCCTCGCAGCCCCTGCGAGCCCTTCAAGCCGGGCTTTGTGCCCCCGCGGGACCTGAGCAAGCACAGCCCCCTCATCAAGAGCCAGTCCCTCATCAGCATCCGCCGCGTGCGGGGCCGTGAGGAGGGGCCGGAGCCGGAGCCGGAGCCATCGCCGGAGCCATCGCCAGCCCCGGAGCCCGGCCGGGAGCGCCGCAACGTCCAGCGCACCCAGAGCGTGCCGGCGCAGGGCAAGGCCCCGCGGCGCCCGCGCCACCAGGGCAGCGCCGAGCTCGAGGCCGAGCCGTCGCCCGGCGATGGCACAGGGTCACCGGTCACCGGCAGCGCCCCGGTAAGGCCCGGCAGCTGCCGTGGTGCCCCTGTGGGGACCGCTGGTCAGAGGGGCCTGGTGGTGTTGACTGGTGGTGTGAGGGGCATGGGGTGTTGACTGGTGGTCTGAGGGGCCTGGTGGCATTGACTGGTGGTCTGAGGGGCACAGGGTGTTTACTGGTGCCCCAAGGGGTCCAGTGGCGTTGACTGGTGGTCTGAGGGGCACAGGGTACTTACTGGTGCCCCAAGGGGTCCAGTGGCATTGACTGGTGGTCCAAGGGGCATTAACCGGTGTCCCGGTGCCACCCTGGAGTGGGGGCTGGTGTTCCGAGGGGTCTGGTGACACTAACTGGTGCTCCAAGGGTTCCAGCAGCACTAACCAGTGCTCTGAGGGGCACAGGATGTTAACCAGTGCTCTGAGGACTCCAGCAGCACTAATCAGTGCTCTGTGGGGTCTGGGGCACTAACTGGTGCTCCGAGGAGGAGTCTGGGGTGCTAACTGGTGCTGCGAGGGTTCCAGCAGCTCTAACTGGTGCTCTGAGAGACATGGGGTGTTAACCACTGCTCTGAGGGGTTTGGTGGCACTACCCAGTGCTCCGAGGGGTCCGGCGGCCCTCCCCGGTGCTCCGAGGGGTCCGGCGGCCTTAACCCGGCGCCGCGGTGCCCGCAGGCCCGCGGGAAGCTGCGCTCGTCGGCGTCGCTGCCCCGCAAGCCGGCGGTGCCGTGGCAGCGCTTCGCGGAGGACCCGGCGGCCCGGGGCGAGCTCTACGCGCTGCGCCCGCTCGAGAAGGTAACGGGGGCGGGCGGTGGCCCCTGAGACCCTCCTGCATAGCCCTTGGTATTCCCCCGGTGACTGTCGGTCCCCCCCAGCACGGGCGGCTGCTGGAGGCGCTGCGGGAGGAGGTGTCGGAGCTGCGGGAGCGGCTGGAGCGGGCGGAGGCGCGGGCGGGACGCGCCGAGGAGCAGCACCGGGAGCAGCTGGAGCGGCTCCGGCAGCAGCTGGACGAGGGCAACGCCCGAGCCGCCAACCTGGGGGCCAGGTGGGGATATGGGGGGGCAGAACTGGGGGAGGGGGACACAAAACTGGGGGGACCCGGAGCAGGGGGTGAGGGGTGAGACTATAAAAGGGATGTCCAAAACTGGGGGTGACCCAAACTGGGAGTGACCCAAACTGAGGGTGACTCAAAAGAGGGGGTGTCCCAAAAGAGGGAGGAGACTCAAACAGGGGGAAACCCAAGAAAGGGAGTGACCCAGAACTGGGGGTGATCCAAAAGAGGGTGTGACCCAAAACAGGGGGTAACTCAAAAGAGGAGGTGTCCCAAAAGAGGGGGGGGGAGACTCAAACAGGGGGAAACCCAAGAAAGGGAGTGATCCAGGACTGGGGGTGACCCAAAAGAGGGTGTGACCCAAAACAGGGAGTGACTCAATAGAGGGTGTGACCCAAAAGAGGAGGGGAGACTCAAACAAGGGGGAAACCCAAGAAAGGGAGTGACCCAGGACTGGGGGTGACCCAAAAGAGGGGTTGTTCCCAATAAGGGGGGACCCAGAATAGGCAGTGTCCCAACCCAGGAGTGTCCCAAATTGGGGTGACCCAAAATAAGGGGTGCCCAAACCAGGGAGTGACCCAAACCAGGAATGTTCCTAAACACGGGGGGGGGACCCAAAACAGGGAGTGACCCAAACCAGTGGGTCCCAAAACCTTTGGGTGCCCTAAACCTGTGGGTGCCCCAAAACAAGGGGTGCCCCAAAGCAGTGGGTGCCCCCCGGGGTCTCAGCTCACCCCCATCCCAGGCTGACGGCGGCCGAAGGCACCAGGAAAAAGGACCTGGAGAGGCTGAAGAGCAACGAGGAGAAGAACCGGGAGCTGGTGAGAGATGGGATGCGGACACAGGGGGGACATGGGGGACACTGGGGACACAGGGAATACCAGGGGGACACAGGGGACATGGGGGAACACGGGGGGACACAGGGGGAACAGGGTGATATAGGTGACATGGGGACACACAGATGACATGGGGGACACACGGGGTGTGACATGGGATGACATGGAGGGCACAGGGTGACACGGGTGACACGGGGGACATACAGTGACAGAGGGTGACAGGGGGTGACACGGGGAATACGCAGTGACACAGCGGTGACGTGGGCGGACACAGGTGACATGGGTGACATGGGGTGACACAGGATGGCACGGGATGACACGGGGAGGCAGGGGGTGACACAGCGGTGACATGGGTGTGGCACAGGTGACACAGAGGTGACAGAGGTGACACAGGGGTGACATGGATGACACAGGGTGGCACAGGGGGACATGGGATGACACAGGGTAACATGGGTGGCATGGGTGACATAGGATGACACAGGTGACACGGGGTGGCACACAGGTGACACGGGATGACACGGGGGACACAGGATGACATGGGGGACATGGGGTGACATGAGGGGACATGTAGTGACACAGGTGACACGGGGATGACACAGGTGACATGGGGGTGGCACACAGGTGACATGGGATGACATGGGGACACAGGGTGACACGAGTGACATGAGTGACACAGGGGTGACACAGGGGTGACACATGGGTGACACAGAGATGACATAGGTGACACAGGGTGACATGAGTGACACAGGTGACATAGGGATGACACAGGTGACATGGGGGTGGCACACAGGTGACATGGGATGACATGGGGACACAGGGTGACACGAGTGACATGAGTGACACAGGTGACACAGGGGTGACACAGGTGACATGGGGGTGGCCCACAGGTGACACAGGGTGACATAAGTGACACAGGTGACACGGGATGACACGGGAGACCCAGGGTGACATGAATGACACAGGTGACACAGGGATGACACAGGGGTGACACAGAGATGACATAGATGACACAGGGTGACATGAGTGACACAGGTGACACAGGGATGACACAGGGGTGACACAGGGTGACATGAGTGACACAGGTGACACGGGGATGACACAGGTGACATGGGGGTGGCACACAAGTGACACGGGATGACAGGGGGGACCCAGGGTGACAGGGGGGTGGGCAGGGGACAGGCAGGGGTGACAGGGGTGCCCCGTGTCCCCGCAGGAGCGGCGGCTGTCGGCGCTGGAGCGGGAGCAGTCGGAGCTGCGCGGGATCCTGGCCCAGGCCCTGGGACCCCCCGGCAGGACCAGACCCCGGGGGCCAGCGCGGGGCTGGGACGAGAGCGGGGACGAGGCCCAGGCCACCAGCGTGTGACCCGTGTCCCAGAGCGTCCCCAGGGTGTCCCAGAGCGTCCCCAGGGTGTCCCCGGGGTGTCCCTGCAGCCCCGTCCCCAACCTGCTCCGGGGGATCCCGAAGGGTGTTTGGTCCCGATCCCGTGGGAATAAACAGCGTTGGTGTCACTGTCACCGAGGGCTTGGCCGTGTCCTGGCACCCCTCGGGGCTCTGTGTCCAATCCCAGACTGTC